TGATTTGAAAAGGCGTACACCTGTCTATATAAGGGCCCAGGGTAGACAGTGCATGTCAAAGCACAAACCAAGCATGAAGACAAAGGAATTGTCTGTAGACCTACAAGACAGGATTGTCTCGAGGCACAAGGCTGGGGAAGGTTATGTGCCTGTGCTGAACCATATGTGCCCGTTCGATGCAGTTTCCTTGTATCTGTAGCTACACTTGGTGAGTAAAAAGCGGTGTCTAGTGAAATGATGACCTTCATGGTCAGTCCCAGTCATTTCTGTTGAGTGAGCACATGAACACAATGGCAAATCGGCAGTGTTTAAGAAAGGGCTCAACAGCGCTCAAATGTTATCGGGAAATGGACGTCTTTAAAATTTCAGTATCGATTGGTACTGAATTCCAGTATCGTGACTAGGGTTGTAACAATATACCGGTATGACGGTTTACCACGATTTGAACGTGCACGATTATCATACCATGAACAATTGCATATCAACGGTTTTAACCCTTAAAGACCGAGACAGCCGCCCGCGGCTAAAAATAAGTATTGCTCTTAAATGTTTAATAACTTTTGATCCGCTGATCCGATTCATACATTTCAAAGATTGGCATAAAGAAGAGAATCTCAGCTTTCCAGTGCTGTATCACATACCATTCGCGGACTTTCAAAGGCTCCGGAATCAGTGCGGTTACGTCATCAAAATTTGACAACGCTGATTTGACAAAGAAACGCTCGTCACTGTGTCTCCGGACAAACCAGACATGATACATTGATGCATTGTCCCTCCTCCATGCCCAGATTGGTTCAAACTCGCTATATCACAACCAATAAGCATAGGTTTCGCTTTTGTTTGTGGACCAAGCTTTTTGAACAACACGGAATGAGAGAAAGGCATACATTTATGCGCGGCTAAATAAAACGCAAAAAAAAAAGTTTTGCATGAAATAATTCTCATACTAAGTACTTTTGCATGCACAGCAGCACAGAAACATGACAAATCAGTGACACAGCAAAGACGAACTGCTGCTCTTGCTGTTTTCAAAAGATGCAAATGAAGGTGCAGCTGTTTGTCTGCATTGCAGACAACCATTTTCAAATCCATATCCACAGACAACCATATCCATGCTGGCACATAAAACCTAAGGATGTTCCATATTGAATCTAGTTTCGTTATGTAACTATTTATAGTATAGTAAATATTTATATCTATTTTTTACTGAGGATTTGCACCATGTTTATTTGGACTTTGACACATTATTTATTATTTTCTTATTTTTATTTGTTCATTGTAAGTGGTGTTGTTTATAGTAACTAAAAATATATTATTTGGAAAAAGTCAAATTTGCTTCACTGTTCTATTATTTTGTAACATTTGTAACATACCGTATACCGCGAAACCGTCAAACCGTGGTATTGTTTTAGACGATTATCATACCGTAAAAAATTCATACCGTTACAACCCTAATCGTGACAATACTACGCCGATTTCAATTATTTTCAATTTATCGCCCAGCCCTACTGTATATTAACTTTACTGGTTTTACTACATGTTTCTAAGGTTTACAATTCATATGGGCTTAATTTAAACAAACAAATTAAATGTATTCATTTTCAACTTGATCGGTTTGTTTATATTAAGCCCATATAAATTGTTTGCAAACACCTTTAAAAAAATTAAGTAATTCTAGTAAACAATTTTTTTCAGTTCATTTTTATGTAACAAAACTGACTGGAACATCAAAAAAACGAAAAGCACTGTTTATTTTAGTATTTAATTTCCTATATTGTATGCATTTTGTATAGTATTTTGCCTGTAGTTTCTTATCTTAAACTAAACCGAAACCATGACCTTATACCAAATTATGAAAAGTCTGTATTGTTGGCTCAATCGTCAGACTTGCTCCTTGGTCCTCAATCTGGCAACCTGCGCTTGTGTTTGTTTTGATCCAGGAATGCAATACCTAGTTCAACCACTGGGTGTCAAACTTACATACTACATCTTTAACAACGCGCTCAACAGTGCTTAAATATTAGCAGGAAATGGACGTTTTTTTAAATTTCTGTACTGGTTGGTACCGATTTCCAGTATCATGACGACCCTAGTTTGAAGCGATATATTGTCTGGGTGGGTGTTAAGGCTGCACGCTTCTGGCAAAAATGTGAATCATGATGTTTTTTGTTTAAAATCAAGATCCTGATTTTCTCACGATTCTTTAAATGTAAAATAAAGGTTAATATGTTTAGCCTATTATTATTGTTAATTCTCAAACATATGGTAAAACAATAATAACATTAGGCATTTGTGTAGGTCTACAGTTGCTTAGAATGCTAAATTTTGTATAGTCATTTTAGTGGACTTGAACAGACTTTCAATATGTCCTGTTTGTTAATTCACAGTAAATCTATGACATCAGAATATAACTATATAGAGGCCGTTTCTAATATATCAATTCTAGGAGTTTTCCAGGACAAAAACTCCTTTAAATACGGTAAATATTCCTTTTATCGTGTGCTGCTGCTTTTATATAGAACACTACTTATATCAGCTTTTTGGCTCAAACGTCAGACTCGCTCCTTGGTCCTGGCAACCCGGACTTGGGTTTGTTTTGATCCAGGAATGCAATACCTAGTTCAACCACTGGGTGTCCATAAAGTGCAGCTTCGATTGTATTAATTTAAGCTTGTAATTTGTTAATCATGCAGATACATTTCCAATAAATGCAAAGTTATTATTTCTTCCCAAATAAAGTTTGTTAAATCAACTTGGGAAATAATATTCATATCGCAATTTCATTTTTTCCAATAGGGTATATGTGGAAGTGCTTTTAATTTGTCAGTAACCCGGGTTAAGTGCTTCCGCTGAACTGTATGCTATTACAAAATCGGCACGTTTAAGGTGTTTTTTTTTTTTAATTCAGCGATCTCCACTGGCTGAGTGATATTCAATATAAAGTGGGTCTCAGATTGTACAAAAAGCACTGCATTAAATTACATTTTCCCCTGCCATGTCTTTAGCATTTATTTTACCCCAGTATATTCAATGGAGCTTCTGTGCTAGCCTGCCGATTCTGACGGGCACGTGCGAGTAAACGGCTTTCTGTCTCATTCTATGCTTGAGCAACTAAATGAATGCCAAAGTGATTATATTTTAATTACATTACAACATTGATGCTGTTAAAGGAACCGTATAAATTGGAAAAAAGTCACATTAACCGTTCACCGGAAGTTTATCAGTATGGGAAGAAACACTATCTCTGCATATACCCTATATTGTGCAGCCCTAATATGTTATGTGCATAAAAGTTTGACCAAGAGCAATAAGTTGTTTACTTAAAGGACACTAGTGTCACTAACTCCAGGAGCTTCTGAATTGAGAAAAGTTGAAACTAAACCCAGACCTGCACTGATTTCTCCCTGGTTGTTATTGTTTTTGCAGAATAGATGAACTATATTTTACATACAACCTACACTGATGATAATGGATCTTCAATGAGTAAAAATCTCAGCTGTAAGTAACTTAATAGTGTTCAAGCACATGGATGATGAAGCAATTCTGCATTTCCCAGCGAGCGTATGAGAATCGAATATATTTTAGGCGAAAGTACTGAGCTGTACCAAACGTTGGCCAGCGGCTGCTATAATGACAGCATCTGACAATGCCGAACGCAATTAAAGAGAGGAAATTTACAGCTCAATGATGCAGAAAAATGGTGCTATTGAACAGTATTCATAACGTGAGACTGACCAAATGAAAAACACAGGAACAGATAGAAAAGATGAAGCTATATTTGAGGTCTAGCTGAACAAAAGCACCAGTCATGCAAGATTCTGGCTTCACCTTTAGGAGATAAGATGCAATATTTCAAAATAAGTTTGCATATCTTCTACGATTAGGTTTTGCTTCATTTGAGGTGTCTGATTTACAATGTTTAAAGCGAACCCACACAATCTCCAACTCTTAAACCCACCGCAGTGTCTGTTTCTCTGCTGTAATCTCTCCTTTACAAGCCTAATTGATCAATTAATCCTCCAGAGGTGCCCTACAAAACTCTTCAGCAGACTGTCATGAAATACAAATGAACCGCCGCCCCCTTCCAAACAAACCCCAAGAATGATTCATGTCATTGTTCCTGATGGAAACCCAGCAGACTTTTCCCCTCAATGCAACCTGATCATTGAGCATCAAGATGAGACTAATGAATTCAAGACCTTACATTTCAAATTGGCCAGAACCCTCAACAATGCAGTGAGATCAGTTGGCCAGATTGGGTTTCAGTGCTGCCATTAACAAAGATGACAAGCAGCACTGCAACTTGTCTGGTTTTCAGCGAAAACGACATAAATATATATACATTCACACACATGAACATCCAAGAGTGCGTATGGAAACATCCTTTTTGAGGCAAAAAACAGAAACATTGGTCAGAAAACAGCTAACTGGAGGTCTGAAGGAAGCTATACATTGCGTAAAACCCCCAACTGAGCCAGTAAACAATGAAACACAGACATAAATGACAGATAAACGCGCGTTTTGTGAATAAAAATCGCAATATGTCATTACAAAAAATTCAAATCTGTCTAGCTAACAGCCTCAACCTCGCTAACTATCCTCGTTTAGACGCTAAACATTCACCGCAAACGCAGGCGGATGTCTTATCCTAAATACCAGGACAGCACTTAAGAGGGACACAAAGCCAAAAAGGAGCCCGAAATGATCAAAACGGTGTAATTTGTGTGACTAAACGCAGTGCAATAGCTCATAGCTCGACGCAGCTCAACGGCTCCGGCCGCCATTTTGGCTCAAGCTCTTATTTACAATCCCGCAGCAGAAACAAAGGAAGCACAAGAAACACATTTTCGACAGAACCGTCTGGATCCAGCGTCCCCACAGCTCGCCCCAAACCCCCTTCACTCCCTCCACTGCAGACCTGAGCTCAATCTTGTCGCATTTCGCCTTTTATTTAAGTGCAATACATAGATGTGGCATTTAAGGCATGGATGCTCGCTTACCCCGGGTTTATTTTAGAAATTCACGCATATTGCGGCATAAAGTATATTTCCAGTCCAGCTCTGCCTCACTGTGTGTTCGTTTGATGAGCGCAGGCGGCCCCGACTGCGGCCGAGCTCCAGCCCTCCCCTCCACCGCTGCCAGATAGTGCTCCACCGCCGGATACCGCGGGCGCTGCGCGGTAGCCTTCCTGCCAGAAAGTGCGCCGCGCTCGGCTTTTTTCGGCCGCTTTCGCCTCGGCTGGGCGAGGAAATGTGCGCATGCGCAGCCACTGCGACAGGAGTTGGAAAGCATGACTGTCCCTCACAAAAAAATCCACTTACAATAGACAATTAAGTCTGTCATTTAAAGGGCTGGACGGTGATATATTATATGAAAGTGAGTTTATAAATTTACCCATATACTGTTTTTGTAAATTACACCGTAGCCTATTTAACTGTAATATCAAATGTATTTTCACTGTAAGACACTTATGCAGTATGTTACTGTATTTTAAAGTTGAATAGTAAAAATCTTCAAGTGTTTCTGTCTGCGGACTGCAAGACGGGGTGTAACATGAAGGGGCGTAACTTGCAGTTATCGAGATCCCATTGAACCAAGCGAGATGTCACACCGAGATGTGGGCAAGATGGAAATAATTAACAGAGAACATTTTCACCAAATGTTTTCATGAGTTTTCTCCAAATTTATTCACAACCTATTCATTTGATATATTAATATATTCATTCATTTAGCAACTTCACCATGCAACTCGCTGACTTCTGTTTTGTCGTGACAGCCTGATTTTACCTGTGGCTGCAAATAACTTGTCAAGTATAAAAGTCTCCGCTACTCACAGCTGTACATTAATAACTGTGATGGTTGGGTTCAGGTTTAGGGTTAGGTGTAGACCAGGGGTCACCAACCCTGTCCCTGGAGGGCTACCTTCCTGCAGAATTCAGTCCCAACCCTGATCAACCACACCTGAACCAATTAATAGTACCTAAAGCAGCACTTGATACTTACAAACAGGTGTGTTTGGTCAGGGTTGCAACTAAAATCAGCAGGAAGGTAGCTCTCCAGGAACAGGGTTGGTGACCCCTGGTGTAGATGTTGGTAACTGTGATGGTTGGGTTAAGGGCTGGGGAAGGTGAAGACGATAATAACTGTGATGGTTGGGATAAGGGTTTTGGTGTAGACATTAATAACTGTGATGGTTAGGTTTATAGTAGGTGTATATGTTAATAACTGTGATGGTTGGGTTTAGGGTAGGTGTATATGTTAATAACTGTGATGGTTAGGCTTATAGTAGGTGTATATGTTAATAACTGTGATGGTTGGGTTTAGGGTAGGTGTATATGTTAATAACTGTGATGGTTGGGTTTAGGGTAGGTGTATATGTTAATAACTGTGATGGTTGGGTTTAGGGTAGGTGTATATGTTAATAACTGTGATGGTTAGGCTTATAGTAGGTGTATATGTTAATAACTGTGATGGTTAGGCTTATAGTAGGTGTATATGTTAATAACTGTGATGGTTAGGCTTATAGTAGGTGTATATGTTAATAACTGTGATGGTTAGGCTTATAGTAGGTGTATATGTTAATAACTGTGATGGTTGGATTTAGGGTAGATGTATATGTTAATAACTGTGATGGTTGGGTTTAGGGTAGGTGTATATGTTAATAACTGTGATGGTTGGGTTTAGGGTAGGTGTATATGTTAATAACTGTGATGGTTGGGTTTAGGGTAGGTGTATATGTTAATAACTGTGATGGTTGGGTTTAGGGTAGGTGTATATGTTAATAACTGTGATGGTTGGGTTTAGGGTAGGTGTATATGTTAATAACTGTGATGGTTGGGTTTAGGGTAGGTGTATATGTTAATAACTGTGATGGTTGGGTTTAGGGTAGGTGTATATGTTAATAACTGTGATGGTTGGGTTTATAGTAGGTGAATGTGTTAATAACTGTGATGGTTAGGCTTATAGTAGGTGAATGTGTTAATAACTGTGATGGTTAGGCTTATAGTAGGTGTATATGTTAATAACTGTGATGGTTGGGTTTAGGGTAGGTGTATATGTTAATAACTGTGATGGTTGGATTAAGGGTAGGTGTATTTGTTAATAACTGTGATGGTTGGATTTAGGGTAGGTGTATTTGTTAATAACTGTGATGGTTGGATTTAGGGTAGGTGTATATGTTAATAACTGTGATGGTTGGGTTTAGGGTAGGTGTATATGTTAATAACTGTGATGGTTGGGTTTAGGGTAGGTGTATATGTTAATAACTGTGATGGTTGGGTTTATAGTAGGTGAATGTGTTAATAACTGTGATGGTTAGGCTTATAGTAGGTGAATGTGTTAATAACTGTGATGGTTAGGCTTATAGTAGGTGAATGTGTTAATAACTGTGATGGTTAGGCTTATAGTAGGTGTATATGTTAATAACTGTGATGGTTGGGTTTAGGGTAGGTGTATATGTTAATAACTGTGATGGTTGGATTTAGGTTTGGTAAAGGTATAGACATTAATAACTGTGATGGTTAGGTTTAGAGTTGGGAAAGGTGTAGATGTTAATAACTGTAATGGTTGGGCTAAGGATTTTGGTGTAGACGTTAATAATTGTGATGGTTGGGTTTAGATTTGGGGGACGTGTAGACGTTAATAACTGTGATGGTTAATAAAGGTTTGGTAAAGGTGTAGACGTTAATAACTGTGATGGTTAATAAAGGTTTGGTAAAGGTGTAGACGTTAATAACTGTGATGGTTAATAAAGGTTTGGTAAAGGTGTAGACGTTAATAACTGTGATGGTTAATAAAGGTTTGGTAAAGGTGAAGACGTTAATAACTGTGATGGATAATAAAGGTTTGGTAAAGGTGTAGACGTTAATAACTGTGATGGATAATAAAGGTTTGGTAAAGGTGTAGACGTTAATAACTGTGATGGATAATAAAGGTTTGGTAAAGGTGTAGACGTTAATAACTGTGATGGTTAATAAAGGTTTGGTAAAGGTGTAGACGTTAATAACTGTGATGGTTAATAAAGGTTTGGTAAAGGTGTAGACGTTAATAACTGTGATGGTTAATAAAGGTTTGGTAAAAGTTAAGACGTTAATAACTGTGATGGATAATAAAGGTTTGGTAAAGGTGAAGACGTTAATAACTGTGATGGATAATAAAGGTTTGGTAAAGGTGTAGACGTTAATAACGGTGATGGTTAATAAAGGTTTGGTAAAAGTTAAGACGTTAATAACTGTGATGGATAATAAAGGTTTGGTAAAGGTGTAGACGTTAATAACTGTGATGGATAATAAAGGTTTGGTAAAGGTGTAGACGTTAATAACTGTGATGGATAATAAAGGTTTGGTAAAGGTGTAGACGTTAATAACTGTGATGGTTAATAAAGGTTTGGTAAAGGTGTAGACGTTAATAACTGTGATGGTTAATAAAGGTTTGGTAAAGGTGTAGACGTTAATAACTGTGATGGTTAATAAAGGTTTGGTAAAGGTGTAGACGTTAATAACTGTGATGGATAATAAAGGTTTGGTAAAAGTTAAGACGTTAATAACGGTGATGGTTAATAAAGGTTTGGTAAAGGTGTAGACGTTAATAACGGTGATGGTTAATAAAGGTTTGGTAAAGGTGTAGACGTTAATAACGGTGATGGTTAATAAAGGTTTGGTAAAGGTGTAGACGTTAATAACTGTGATGGATAATAAAGGTTTGGTAAAGGTGTAGACGTTAATAACTGTGATGGATAATAAAGGTTTGGTAAAGGTGTAGACATTAATAACGGTGATGGTTGGGTTTAAGTGTGGAGCAGGTGTAGACATTAATAACGGGTACAGTGCCATCTTGCCGAAAACAGTTTTGATATGTGGGTCTCTATAACTGCAAGTTACACATCTAACCTACTACAAATTACGCCCGTTCACATTACGCTTCTGTCTTCCAGTCTGCAGACAGACATTACAATGAAAATGACTGTAGGTTTTACAGTTATGATATACAATACTGTAAATACAGCAAGATAATGGTGCAGTAAATGTAAATATAGACCATAATTAATTTATAGTAAGTTACTGTAGATTCTACAGGAAATCCCTAACAGTGTAGCAGCTGTATTTTATAGTATGAAGATCTGTGTAGTTTTTATTCAATAAACTAAATAATAATGATAAATTTAATGGTAATACACACGTGCTATATTCTTATTATCAAGATTTGATGTATTATGTGTATTCCTTCAAGTTAACATGTCGCATTACTCTTTATTATTGTGTACTTCATGAAAAATGTTAAAGCCACAGACACTCTTAAATATTTTAATGATGCTTTCATGAAGAACCTTTAACATCTATTGACTCTTTTCATACCCCAAATGGTTCTTTACAGTGGAGAAAGGATGTTTAGTTTTTTTAAATGTTCTTCTATTCTCTAAAAAAAAGTTTGTGTGTTATGATCAGCATAAGGATAAAGTGCATGTAGTCTCACGCACAAAAGATTTATTAACAGACTCCAGACCTGCCCTAAACATGTTCGTCCATGTCCAGATAATGCTGAGTAATTACTGATTACCTAACGTGAGATCTGAAAAATAGTGTCTTCATCAGATCATATAGTGGCATTTATTGATTTATAAATTGAGAGAAAAAAAAACCTGGGACCTTATTTTCAATTAATTTCAATCCCTGTTTTGTTGGGCCAAACTCCTCTGAGCTAAAATATTGACTTTAGCTCTTTTTAAATGCGAGTCATTTAAACACACAATTGCATTTCAGATGGTAGTCAGATGGTATCTAGGTATTTAATGTATATAAATTTGACTATTTATTCTTAATTATTTATTTGTTATGTTTGAGTTGATCAACTCATTAACCCATAAATTTGGAAAAACCTGACATAGGGTAATATTTAGGATGTATTTTCTTTCTCTTTGTGTTTGTAGATTAATATGGTGAACAATATTCAACTCTATAAGCTAGGTAATCAAAAACAAATGACATTATTTAAAATGTGTAGCCTAACTACAGTTTTGTAAAGTAGCTTGTAATCAGAAATTTCAACAACTTTTAAAGAACCTGTCCGACATTGCATCTGGAAATGTCTGTCTAAAGTTAAATTATTATAATAACAACAGCCAAAGATGCGTTTTTTTTTTTTTTTTAGAGATTTATAGATCAAAACAACCTATGTCAAACATTTTGCTCAACCTCTTTTTAAACGGAGCTATTATGCACATCAGATGTCCGTGTGTATGTAAAATTTCACTTTTCATTTATAACCCTTTTTAGACTTTGATCCTAACTGTGACGTTTTGGTGACTGTAGCTTTAAGTTGAAATGAGATTGTGCTCTTTTTTAAAAGAAGGCGGAGCTACAGATACCTATGTGTCAGAATAGTGGCAGATAAAAAACAAGACTAAACTCCTATGCTAATGAGGGAGATATGGACATCACTAATGGGCGGAGCTTTCCCCCTCTGATGACACATACAAAGGGAGAATTTCAATCAAAGTGTTTGTTTGGCATGGATTCAACAAGATACTGGAAATATTCCTCAGAGATTTTGCCCCATATTGGCATGATAGCATCATGTAGTTGCTGCAGAGTTGTTGGCTGCACATCCATGATGCTAATCTCCCAATCACCACATCCCAAATGTGCTCTATTGGATTGAGATCTGGTGACTGTGGAGGCCATTTGAGTGCAGTGAACTCATTGTCATGTTCAAGAAACCAGTCTGAGATGATTCTCGCTTTATGACATGGTGTGTTATCCTACTGGAAATCACCATAAGAGGATGGGTACACTGTGGTCCTAAAGGGATGGACATAGCCAGCAACAATACTCAGGTAGGCTGTGGCGTTGATGCTCAATTGGTACTAATGAGCCCAAAATGTGCCAAAAAATATCCCCCACACCATTACACCACCACCAGCATAAACCGTTGATACAAGGCAGGATGGATCCATGCTTTCATGTTGGTGACACCAAATTCTGACCGACCATCCGAATTTCGCAGACCAGGCAACGTTTCTCCAAGCTTTTATTGTCCAGTTTTGGTGGACAGGAGCGGCACCCGGTGTGGTCTTCTGCTGCTATAGAGATTGGATGTGTTGTGTGTTCAGAGATGCTCTTCTGCAGACCTCGGTTGTAACGAGTGCTTATTTGAGTTACTGTTGCCGTTCTATCAGCTGGAACCAGTCTGGCCATTCTCCTCTGACCTCTGGCATCAACAAGGCATTTGCGCCCACAGAACTGCCGCTCACTGGATATTTCCTCTTTTTCGGACCATTCTCTCTGTAAACCCTAGAGATGGTTGTGCATGAAAATCCCAGTAAATCAGCAGTTTCTGAAATACTCAGACCAGCCCGTCTGGCACAAACAACCATGCCACGTTTAAAGCCACTTAAATCATCTTTCGTCGCTGAGTTTAAACTGCAGCAGATCGTCTTGATCCTGTCTACATGTCTAAATGTAATTAAGTTGCTGCCATGTGATTGGCTGATCAGAAATGTGCATTAACGAGCAGTTGGACAGGTGTACCTAATAAAGTGGCCGGTTAGTGTATTCACTGTTTAAACCCCTTTATAAAAGTGTTTTTTTGCATAATAGCTCCACTTTAGGTTGTAAAATCATGCATCGGATAGATCAATTTCATCATCCAGCACAAGCTTGTAAAGATAGGTGAAAAATAAATGACATAGACCTTGGTGCTCAACCTCAGTTTACTTCATCACGATTCAGAAAAAATCTGCTCAAACGCACCATAAATCACTCTGTGTTCCACAGGTATTCCAGATAATGAGGTTGTCTAATGCATTGTGACATCCATTAGCACACACACACACACACACACACACTGAAGAAATAAGCGAGTCCTCAGGCAGACAAACAAACCCAAATATGAGAGTAAGGGAGTGGCATCAATCTGGCTGTTTCGTCTCCCTCTGCCGTTGCCATGGAGACAGTGTCTTCACATGCCTTTGAACTGCTGCATTATGGACAGGAGCTGCTCGCTGCGTTTTTGGATGTTGCTCTGCTCCTCTTTCAGCCTCTCCTGCTCCTGGAGCACCTCCTCCTGCAACATTCAGACCCCGTCAATACGTGAGAGTCGGCAGGTGACGCGGCACGGGCAAATGTTCAACAGCACCACACTCCATGCATGCTTAATGAAGAGGCATTTGGCAGTTTTTGGTGTGAGGTCATTGCGAATGGCTCCTACTGTGTTTTTCAGTCATCACAGTGTGAGAAAATCACTGTTTGTGCAGGTACGGCTGACTTAAAGGGGAGCTATTATGCAAAAATCTATTTTATAAGGGGTCTAAAATGTTTAAACACAGTTGTGTGGGAACAATCTGTGAACATAACCAGCTTCTAATGGTAAACGTATTAGATTATTAAAGTTCGTCGAGACAAATTTTGAGGCTGGCCTGTTGGTAATAGATTATTTAGTTTAAACAGTTTTAAAAAGTATGAAAAGATAGATAGATAGATAGATAGATAGATAGATAGATAGATAGATAGATAAGCATCTTATTAGCATGATTGTAGCATGAATTAGCATGTTACTAGCATAAATTAGCATGTTACTAGCATGTTATTAGCATGAATTAGCATGCTACTAGCATGAATTAGCATGTTATTAGCATGATTCTAGCATGAATTAGCATGTTACTAGCATGATTCTAGCATGAATTACCATGTTATTAGCATGACTCTAGCATGAATTAGCATGTTACTAGCATGATTCCATCATGTATTAGCATGTTACTAGTATGATTATAGCATGAATTAGCATGATCCTAGCATGAATTAGCATGTTATTAGCATGATTCTAGCATGAATTAGCATGTTACTAGCATGATTTTAGCATGGATTAACATGCTACTAGCATGGTTCTAGCATGTTATTATCATGATTCAAGCATAAGTTAGCATGTTAGCATGAATTAGCATGTTAATAGCATGTTTCTAGCATGAATTAGCATGTTACTAGCATGATTCTAGCATGAATTAGCATGAGTTGGCATGTTAGCATGAATTAGCATGTTCTTAGCATGATTCTAGCATGTTAGCATGATTCTAGCATGAATTAGCATGTTATTAGGATGAATTAGCATGTTACTAGCATGATTCTATCATGAATTAACATGTTACTAACATGATTCTAGCATGAGTTAGCATTAATTAGCATGATTCTACCATGAATTAGCATGTTATTAGCATGAATTAGCATGTTACTAGCATGATTCTATCATGAATTAACATGTTACTAACAAGATTCTAGCATGAGTTAGCATGTTAGCATTAATTAGCATGATTCTAGCATGAATTAGCATGTTATTAGCATGAATTAGCATGTTACTAGCATGATTCTATCATGAATTAACATGTTACTAACATGATTCTAGCATGATTTAGCATGTTATTAGCACAATTCTAGAATGAATTTGCATGTTATTAGCATGATAGATAGATAGATAGATAGATAGATAGATAGATAGATAGATAGATAGATAGATAGATAGATAGATAGATAGATAGATAGATAGATAAATAAAGCTGTGTTCTATAGATGTTCCTCAATGTTTAGTAAGCATTTCTAGCTTACTAAAGCATTTCTAAGCCAGCCTAATAATGATTAGCTAAGTACTTTAACATGCTAGAAATGCTTACCAAACAACAGGCTTTCTCAAGCCAGCCTCAAAGTTTGTCTCGCCGAACTTTAATAATCTAGTTATTCTTCCGTCTTCTTCTTCTTCTTAGACAATTTTAAAAACACATCTCCTCCTAGACTATTCATACTACAACCACCAAATAAACACCAAACCTCCAAACCTATCCTGAATTAAGTTGCTATATCTTTTCCAACTGATCAGTTACGGTTTTCCGAAAACTGTCCTGGAAAATTTGGAAAAGTCCCATTGACTTAACATTGAACCAAACTTTGTGACCTCATAACTTTCCACCAGACTGTCATACAGACTTACAGTTGGGCTCATTTAAATACTACCAATCTGCCAATCACTGATGACCTTTCAACTTACTAGCCACACCCTTGCATCCACTTACAGCACCCTAGCAAAAATAAAAAAAAGTGAGCAGATTCTGTCCGGTGCTGCAGATCAGACACCGAATGCTTCAATATGAAGATGAAACCTCTAAAAAAAGCCATTTTTTACAACGGCTTGTCTGAAGTGGATGTTTGTGGTTATTTTAAGGTCACACACCCTCAGTTTACACAGCTCTTTCCGCTCCCTGTCGTTCTCTTCTGCTCGCGCTCGCAGCCAGGCCTCGTTCTGAGCTTTGTGTCTTTCCAGCAGATCCTGAAGATCCTGTCCAAACACAACATTAGGCTTCCTTCAGTCACACAGAAGAGCAAGAACAGACACATCCCAGAAAATCAGTCACTGTGTACCTGTTTCTGTCTCAGCAGAAGCTCGTTTTGGGCATCTTTCTCCATCTGCAGAGCCTCGGTGTCTGCAGCTACTGCTTCCTTTTCTCTGTTTCAGAAGATTCAAAATAGATTCATGTGTTTGTGTTCGTGAGATTTAGACAATTAGTGAAAGATATTCACGTTTCTCACTCTAAAGGTGCAGTAGTAGGTGATTGTCTTCAGACACATTTGTTGTTGTGCTGGTTGAAAGTCTCTACACAGTCTAATAGTAATGATTAAAGTAAATGACCTAAATGTGTGTATTTTTGTATTCTGGGTGAGGCAGACTAAGACTAAAAAATGTTCCAATTAAATATTGTCGAGCTGATAATTCCTACAGTTATGATAAGTAGCCAACCCAGGCTCATTCTAAAAACATAGTCCCGTGGACGTTTCTGGAGACCGCGAATTATGTAGCCGGAGGTACGTATGGCTGCATTTAATTTATTAAAAGAAACGCTAGGGGGCGGTATGACATTGTTCCTTTTCGTGCTTACCAGCTGACCGCTTACCTCCGTGTGGGGGGCTTTCCCGCCGCAACCAGTTTGTCCAGTTAGCTCATTGTGTACGTAGGCGGACTTGAGACCGAGAGAAGCTGACCACGACGATGAGTCCGGGGAAGAGCAGTATCAGAAATCAGGAAAGACGAAAACAGAGTCCAAAAAATAAAATGAACGAGTGAATAACAGGGTGAGAATGTGGTAAAATCCGAAAATGTGGTAAAAATCAGACGAGGGCTTTTCTTTTTCTGGACAGCTTTTGTAAACTGTCTGTTGGGTTTAGGGAAGTAAGCGGGCGGGAAGGTCAATCAGTAAAATTGGTTGGGTTTAGGGAAGGAGGAGGGTGGGACAGTCGATTGGCCGGTCGCCAAGTCAATCATTCAGCCATTCAGTTGGTCGACAGCGGCCTCTGGTGGGTTTACGCGAGAACAGCATGGGCGTGAATGGCACTCGTGAGAGACATTTGAGATATGAAAGCGCAAACAGCTGCCTCTTGTTAGCGAAACAAAAAACGCAAAAATACGTACCTCCAGGGACGTATTTCACAGTCTCCAGAAACGTCCACGGGAATACAATTTAAAAAAAAGAGCCTGGGTTGTAAGTAGTCCAAACTGTCTGTCAACAAATGTAGATTTGTACATCTGCGCACCCTTGTTCACGCAGATCCGCCATTTGCACGCACATGCGCGCCACATGCACACACACGAGAGAGAGAGCGGCAGCGCTAAAATCAAATACTGAATCAAAACTTTTTAAAATCCTGAACCAATCATGGAGTTGCTTTTGCAAGCTGGAGGAAGGACGACACCATGGCTGAAGTATTTCTGTTAGACAGGTAATGTTCTGTTTTAAACTCTTTTAGTCACGCGAAGCTGATGTAGATTGCGTTGTTTTATGCACGGATTTGTTGTCGTTCAGCCAGTGAAAGCTTGATGTGACTATTTTCAGTTTCATAAGGAATATTGAAATATGGCCCATTATGACAAGCTTTGCTTGCTACACAACTGAAAACGTGCTAGATATCAGACAGTTTTTCGTTCAGACTTGTATTATTATAAAGTACTGTAAAGTTTTCTAACTGGCGAATGACATGATCTAGTGGGTTGTCTACTGTCATCTTTAATTTGCACGTTCGTGATTTCAGGAGGCATGGCTTTGGAAGGCAGTGGCGGGACTGTGTTTCAAAGATATTATGCTAACGGTTAGCATTTTGGCAGATCACCTACTTCTCTTTTAAAGGGTCACGATACACCAAAACACATTTTTTGAGCTGTTGACAGTCGTATATGTGTCCCACACTGCTAAAAACACTATTAGGACACCTATATTTCACTAAAAAGTGTAAATTGGTTGTTTTTGCGTTATTTCAAGCAAATTCGTACTTCCGGTTTGAAACGAATTTTTGAAGCTGCGTCACGGTCATGACATAATAGCGTGTATTCCAGCGTGCAGACTGGACGTCTGTGCCAGAGTGTGTCTTATTACGTCTTACAGTGTGCTGCATTAATGCATGAGTAAGGCTTGGTTCAAACCAATCAGCGCGCTCTATTGTGCAACTTCATTAATATTCATTACTGTCACAGTGTTTTCAGGACAGAGACGCCTCGTTGTGTTGGCAAAACAAGCATGAAGTGTTGCTTTTATAGTTTGCTGCAGTTCAGTTTTGTTTTCATTTTCTCTCTGTGAGAGCTCAGCTGGCGTCACGTGTGGATTAACAGTGTACGCGACGCTCGACAACAATAACTTACGTGTCTAAGGAGGATTATTGTTTACCTGAGAACTGTTCTCATCTGCAAACGCTGAGATCCGGATTCACTTGTAGTCTCCTCTTAATAAAGACGCGGCTCTAGTTGCTGGTGATTGTCCTGTCTCTACAGATTTGGTAAGTGAGCGACCAGTGCTCTTTGTTTATTTAGTTCGTATTTTATTCGTATCGAACAAACTATTGCACCGAGTGTAAACAAGTTAGCACTAACAGTTACAATTAAACTTTAACCTCGTGTAGGATTTTCGCTGCATTTTGTGACCGGAATAACACATGCGGCTTTCTGACACTACCTGCCGTGTGCATTTAAGTTTCCGGGAAATGCTGAGGGTTTTTTTTCTCTCATTTGCCGTGCGGTATCAAACATTGCATGAAAAATACACGCTTAGAGCAGTTCCTCGAATCAAATATCAAGTTTGTCGGGAGGGGCATGAATGAATTCCCTGAATGAAAGAGCCAAACTGCAGTTAAAGTCCACCATTTAATAATTTGGCAAATAATCTGACTACACATGTCCATGTAGGTTAAACATCATCACTTTCTCCTGTGTGTTTGTGTGTGTGTGTGTGTTTTGACTCTGAAATTCAGCGCGCCCAAATAGACACTCCCACACCATGCCTCTTTTCTTCCTCCGACACTCCCCCCTAAACAGAGCTGGACACGCCCACTTTTCTGACTTTTTCCAAAGTAGAGGTGTGAAAACACCCTGCTGAAACGAGGGGGTTTCATGGCCCTTTAAAGATTGCATCAACCAGATGTAATGTTATTTTTGAAAACACAAAAAAACAATATTTCAACCAGAAAACACATTACGAACTGCTTCCCTCTGGAAGAAGATATAGAGTTCCAAAGTGTAGGTTAAGTGTAGAAATAATTTGTACCTGTTTCAGTAGGTTTATTTCATAAGAGTCTATCTTAATTAGGATTAATAAGTTTTGTAATTTTGTTTATTTTGTATTGTTTTTTATTGCTTGTTTTAGTGAATTTCTGCAGCAATATGGCGATGCCCATAACAAATCTCCTGTCAAGGACAAAAAAAGTTTTACTACTACTAACTACTACTAAAACACAGGACCTTTTATTAACCCCTATTGAAAACAGTGGCAGTTCTGGGGCGGCTTGTCAACAAGCTTGGCCCCCCTACATTCTGACGCATATTTTTGTGCACAACTAAAACGCCTCAGAGAAGCGAGATCAGCCATCGATGGCAGACGGAGATATGACTGAGGCCTCTCTCGCACGCTCTCGATGTCGCGCGCACTCGCTCTCTCTGCTTTCCCCTGACTTTTGTCAGTGATGGTGCTAAGCGCATCAGTTTTCCTACATTCATAAGAAGTTAAGCCCAAAAATTGACAAAGGTAATAAAAAGATTCAACTTCAGTCATGTTCATGTTGAATCAAAATGTCCATCCATTAACATTATATTAGACTTCTGTTTTCAATAGTGAAATCTGTTTTCAAAACACTTGTGAATCACAAAAAAACAGAAACTGTTAATTAACAGATGCCTTTTACAGGGTAGAATTTTTTCGTTTGGATTTTTGTTTGGTGTTTAAATTGTATTTTCCATTTATCAAAATTTGATGCCTATTGCTATGCAATTTTCCAGCTATATTCAATTTCTTTCCCGCTTGTAAGCTGTCAGTCACTAAAGTCAGATGCTGTGAGAACAGATATAAAAAAAATTAAATCACAAAATATGGAAAACTGCTGATATACAGATATTTTTAACAGATAAAAAATACATAAATAAATAAAATAAAAATCTCTGACTTTCAATGTCTGGAATAGCCCTTTTAAAAGTCCCCGATATTCCAGAAATCTCCAGAAGCCTGCAAAATCTTTACCTGTCCAGCTTCTGGAACTCCTCGTCTAACAGGGCAAACGCTTTGTAGATCATGTTCATGGCTTCCTCGCGAACTGCACTGAAATCTCTATGAGCGCTCACCTGGGGAAAATAACATTGGTAACATTAAAGCTCATATAAAGAAAAGCATACACATCCCTTTGTGTGTTCATTTAGATTTAAAGCTCAAATCTCCATATATACACTCAGAAATAAAGCTACAAAACTGGGGCTTTTCTAAAGGTACACTTTTGTATCTTTAAGATATTACACCTTTAAGACCTTTTCCAGAAGTTAAAATACAATAGGAAATACTGTGAAGGATACTCTGTAAAACAGCTCTTGGAAAACAGAATTAAAAAGTCAATAATTATTATTTTATCTTCAGCTGTAAGATCAGTAAATTTTACATACTTTGACAGAAGTCATTACTACTTAATTAAACATTCATTCATTCATTTTCTTTTCGTAGTCCTTTTATTAATCCGGGGTCGCCACAGCGGAATGAACCACCAACTTATCCAGCACGTTTTTATGCAGCGGATGCCCTTCCAGCTGCAACTCATCTCTGGGAAACAGCCATACACACTCATTCACACTCTCATACACTACGGACAATTTAGCCTACCCAATTCACCTGTACCGCATGTCTTTGGACTGTGGGGGAAACCTGAGCACCCGGAGGAAACCCACGTGAACACAGGGAGAACATGCAAACTCCACACAGAAACGCCAACTAAGCCTAGGCTCGAACCAAATCACATATTCTACATGATCTTATTCTACAGCACTAATCCTACCAAATGCTACCAAAATAACTAAGCAGCAAATTAAAGGTTTATTAAGCTGAGCCTAAATGAGCATATGTTGTGTTTCTTTAAACTACTCCTGCTAATCTTTCTGGGGTCAAAAGCAGTAGTGGAAAGAGAACTGAAAAGTCGTAACCAAGTAAAAAAAAAAAAAAGTAGTGCAAGTAGAGTAAAAGTATCTGTTGTAAATATTACTCAAAGTGTGAGTAAAAAGTAAACATTTCAAAAGTACTCAGAGTAGTGAGTATTACGCTGTTAAAAGCTGATGCATTTACATCTAATTTGTACTTGTGTGTGTAAACGTAACATTCTGTAGTGCACCTAGTTATTGCCCAGCAGGCTCACGACGTCATAAGACGTTAATATTAGGTTAGATTTAGGTTGTGATGTCAGGTGACCGAATTCAATGGCTAGTCAATGTCTGTAAATGAGCGTGTGTTGTGTTCCTTTAAACTGAGGGGTCTCCTGCTAATCTTTCTGGCCTCAGACATTTGTACAGCAGCGTATACGAAACACTGGTTATGTTGTGAGGTGAACCACCTGGATGATGTTTTCAGTCCTGCAGCTCTTCACGGTCACTGGAGACTGACTCAGCTCATACTTCACATTGGGAATCTTTGTCGGAGTGAAGCTGATCAAGAGGAAATGATTTGAATAACAGAAAACCGGTAATGAAACTGGTAACGTATTTAGTCACAGACACACATCCACCTGTTACTGACACCCTGCAGGCCGAACTCCGATAAAATCTCCTTCATCACTGAAGAAAAGGGAATTACAAATCAATCTCAAGTATAATGATAATTAGTATTGACAGCAGAGTACAATAGATAGGTAACAGTACGTACCTGGCTGTCTCTCTGAGGGGTTTATTAACTTCATCACTTTCAGGTCATTAAAGTCTTGCTCTTCATTTCTGCCTCCAAACACGTAAAGCTGCAACCAAGGAGAGAAAGACACACACTTAAAGGGACAGTCACCCAAAACTGATTCATGACTACCTTTATGAGTTTTCTTTTTATGTAAAGAAAGAAGTTAAACAAGTAAAGGCTATTACTCAATTAATTATGGTTTAGCTAAATCAAACTTTTGTGGAAGTTTCACATTACAGAGCATTGACACTGAGAATCGCTTCACGCTCTAAGCTAAAATGCAGATTTTGAATTCTATTATCTCAGCAGGCAAAGAACGTCAATAGACGCTAATAACAGGCAGTGTTGGGGAGGTTACTATTAAAGTGAAAGTACTTTACGTCATGTTAATAGCAATGCGCTTATGGCGCGCCGCAGCTGGCTCTAAAAGGGAATGGGAGATGAGACTCTGATTGGTTTATTCTCAAAACACACCTATAACTCATTAAGGAAATTTAATAGATTAGAGATAACAAACGACCTTATTTAAAATGTAATAAGTAGTTTAACTTTTCGATCACCTAATAAAAGTAAAGTAATTGATTACATCTGATTACTTTTAAGTTTTTAATGGATATTCATTTTTTTATTCATTCATTCATTTTTTTCATTCATTCATCTTCTCACACTTTTCTGGGGCCGAGTCTTAGGAGTCTTAGGCCCCGTTTACACTAGTGCGTTTTAGTTTTAAAACGGCGTTTTAGAATGAAAACAATCCGCGTCCACACTTGCGTTTTACCCAGCGTTTCTGAACTGCTCTCCGTCCACACCAAAACGCTGAAAACGCACATAACGTGACCACACACACATTCTTTGGCAAGCGCTGCACCCATCTACCCAGATGAGAGCTCTGCTAGTCGGACTTCTCATCAAGCAAGCTGGATCTAATCTCACTATATTTATTAAACGTGATGTTTCATTCATCTTGTTGTCTTTATCTAACGACATATTCCCTGACTTTGATCATTGGAATGTATTACTTGTTCTCAGGTAACGTGTTTTGGCTGAGTGCAAAGATAAGTTAATGATTAATGTAAGCACGTACATTCTGTATATTGACTGATCGATAGCCTTTATTACCTGTAATGTATAAACTTATTGTATGTTATACTTTTATAATGGCCATTATCGATTATTAAAACTGATATTCAGCAAAAGAGAGGCTGTGTTTCGTATTTTCACTGAAATTGAAAGGAGACAGTTGTTATCGGCTCCGTTTTGTTATAAATATCCACACAGTGAAGATGATGCTCATATTATACAGCACGGCGCCTCAACATTTCTGCTGTCTGTTTAGTTGCTAATATTAAAATGAAAATAGGCAGTTCCTTAAATCATGTTTACATTTTATTGTTGAGAAAGTGAAACAACGTAGCCAGGGTGATGTGAATGAAGTTATAAAGTACACTGTTCCCTTTGAAGATTGACGCGTGTCCTCGGTATAGTCTGTTGTCCATATCAAACTGAGAAGAAGAGACTGCAGCCTTGATCAAACTTGCGAAGTCTGAACTTACACGGAGAGAATGCAGGACTGAACTGTGTGTGGGCTACTTAATATTGAGGAAAAGCCCCAATCAGAGAGGCGAATGTCTGCAGCTCCGCCTCCGTTTTCAGATGTCTCCGTTTTCCATCATCCACACTGAGACGGAGCAGCAGCGTTTCAGAATGAAAACGGCCTCTCCAGCGTTTTCGAAACTATCCGTTTTCGGCGCTCGAGAACTCCGGCGTAGTGTGGACGGTTGGCGTAACCGTAGCAAAACTTAAGCGTTTTCAAACTAAAATGCATTAGTGTAAACGGGGCCTTAGGGGAGAACCCCAGACTTCCCTCTCCCCAGACACTTCCTCCAGCTCCTCCGAGGGGATCCAGAGGCGTTCCCAGGCCAGCGGAGAGACATAGTCCCTCCAGCGTGTCCTGAGTTTTCCCCGAGGCCTCCACCTGGTGGGACATGCCTGGAACACCTCCCTAGGTAGGCGTCCAGGAAGCATCCGAAACAGATGCCCGAGCCACCTCAGCTGACTTCTCTCGATGTGGAACTCTAGAGAACTCTAATGGCAGTTGGCTGCTTCTAACTTAGGGCTGTTTATGCTAATGAGGGAGAGAAGGTCACTAGTGGGCGGGGCTTTTCCCCTCTAATGACACGTACAAAGGGAGAAAATCAATCCAAGTGTTTCTGCAGACAGTTTTTATCAAGAGTGATTATAACGAATTAATGAACTGTTTACCATCAGAAGCTGGTTATATGACACACTGTTTCCACACAACTGTGCTTAAAGGGAGTTTTGCATAAGGGGCGCCTTTAAACAAACGAAGCATTAACAGAAACACACGTACATGGCTGTGGATGATGAAAGCTGTGTGTCCGTGGCGTCTGCAGGGAGGGATGCCCACATACAGCGGCACCTTCCACTTCATCTTTGCTGGTTACACAGGAAGAGTGCTAGTCTTTATTTATTCACAGGAAACAGTCTTCAGAAGAAAGTTTCCTGGTAAAAGACTTTCATTCTCGGTTTTGCCTCTCATCTTACCAATGCTTAGTTTGTGAATTTCGTTAGTCGATGACACCCCTCCGTCAGGACTGCTGACCGTTCCTCCAAACAAGTAAATATCCTGGGGTCAAAAGCAGTAGTGGAAGAGAACAGAAAAATCATAACCAAGTAAAAAAGTAGTGCAAGTAGAGTAAAAGTATCTACTGTAAATATTACTCAAAGTGTGAGTAAAAAAAGTACCCAGAGTAGTGAGTATTACGCTGTTAAAAGCTGATGCATTTACATCTAATTTGTACAAGTGTGTGTAAACGTAACATTCTGTAGTGCACCTAGTTATTGCCCAGCAGGCTAACAACGTCATAAGACGTTAATATTAGGTTAGATTTAGGTTGTGATGTCAGGTGACTAAAATTCAATGGCCAGTGTCTAAGGACAATGTTATTTTGATGTCCAATAACGACGTCAAATGACGTTGATATTTGGTTGATTTTAGGTTCTTAGAAAGTGACCAAAACCGGTGTCCTCCGGGTGCTCTGGTTTCCCCCACAGGCCAAAGTCATGTGGTACAAGTGAATTGGGTAGGCTAAATTGTCTGTAGTGTATGAGTGTGAATGAGTGTGTGTAGATGTTTCCCAGAGATGGGTTACGGCTGGAAGGGCATCCACTATGTAAACATGTGCTGGATAAGTTGGCAGTTCATCCCGCTGTGGCGACCCCAAATTAATAAAGGGACTAAGCCGACAAGAAAATGAAAGAATGAAACTGACCCTTTAAGGCTTTGGCCCCGTTTACACTAGTGCGTTTTAGTTTTAAGACGGTGTTTTAGATCAAAAACGATCCGCGTCCACACTCGCGTTTCAACTAGCGTTTCTGAACATATCTCCATCCACACTACGTCACCAAAAACCTATATCACGTGACCATTCGCGCACTCTGGGCATGCGTGTTCTAGTATAAACAAGAAGCATGTGTCTTGCTCGACATTTAGTTATAGTTAGTCAACAAACGCCGGTTGAACTATGAACACGATGGCAAAGAAAGCAATAGAGGTATTTTTGTGGACAGACGGCGAGGTCGAGTTGTTACTAAACGTAACAAATGAATAACTGCACAATGGCGCCTAAAACAGACAATAGTGCAAACAACGCTCCCATTTCTGTATCGTGTTGTTGTTTACAGTGAAGGCTGGTCTGCTGTCTTCCGGTAGCGTTAAAGCCATGTGTTATAGTCATGTGATAGGGGCTTGACGAATAAGGGAAGGATACGCAATGACACAAAAGCCCCAATCAGGTAGCGGATCTCAGCAGCCCCGCCTCCGTTTTCAGATGTCTCCGTTTTCCCTCATCCACACTGAGATGGAGCAGCAGCGTTTTAAAATGAAAATGGCCTCTCCAGCGTTTCCAAAAGGCTCCGTTTTCAGCGCTCAAAAACTCTGCCGTAGTGTGGACGGATTGCGTAACAGTGGCAAAACTTATGCGTTTTCAAACTAAAACGCATTAGTGTAAACGGGGCCTTTATGTCTTTTAGGTGAGCCATTTTTGTGACTCTGGCTAAGATTCAAATGAGTCTGTGCTCCCAACCCTTTTAGGAAAAAGGGTGGAGGTAAAAATACCTAGCAGCAGATTCAAAACAGATGCCTTCACTCAGGGCTGTTTACGCTTATGAGGGAGAGATGGTCACTAGTGGGCGGGGCCTTCCTCCTCTGATGACATGTACAAAGGGAGAATGTCAATCAAAGTGTTTCTGCTTTTATCAACTGTGATCGTAAAAATAGAATTAATGAATTTTGTACCATTAAGGGCTGGATATATTCACACACTGCTATCACACAACTGTGTTTAACCCCCTTTTAAAAGGATTTTTTGCACAATAGGTCCCCTTTAAAACTATTTAAAATAAGTATTTTTTATTTAATCTGATAAGAAAACTGAATTTTCAGCATTTCTACACCAATCATTAGAGTCAAATGATCCTGCAGATTGTTATTTCTATAAAAAAGGAGTGAATCTTGTAATATCTAAGTAAAAATATACAATTTATTAATTATTATTATTAATTATTATTACAACTATTAGAAAACATATTAATTCATACATTTTTCCTTACGCCTTAGTCCCTTTATTAATCAGGTTGCCACAGCAGAATGAACCGCCAACTATTTCATGATATGTTTTACGCAGCGGATGCCCTTCCAGCTGCAACCCATCACTGGGAAACACCCATACACTTTCATTCACACACATACACTACGGTCAATTTAGCTTACCCAGTTCCCCTATAGCGCATGTGTTTGAACTGTGGGGACACCGGAGCACCCGGAGGAGATCCACGCCAACACCGGGAGAACATGAAAACTCCACACAGAAATGCCAACTGGCCTAGCTGGGGCTCGAACCAGTGACCTTCTCTGTGTTTAACAAATTCAGGATTTTTCACAGTATTTCGTCTAATAGTTTTCTACAGGAGAAAATTTTTTATTTGTTTTAATCCAGCTATAATAAAAGCAGTTTTTTAATTTTTAAACCATTTTAAGGTCAATATTATTAGCCCTTTTAAGCAATATCTGTTTCGATAGTCTACAGAACCAACCACTGTTATACAATAACTTGCCTAATTACCCTAACCTGCCTAATTAACCTAGTTAAGCCTTTAAATGTCACTTTAAGCTGAATAGTGTCTTTGCAGAATATCTAGTCTAATATTATTTACTGTCATCATGGCAAAGATAAAACAAATAAGTTACTAGAAATGAGTTATTAAAACTATTATGATTAAAAAACAAACGTTAAACTGAAATTGGGGAAACATACAGTGAGGCTTATAAATGTATATAAATGTAGTGGAAACTGTAGTAAAACCGTGTTACCTTGTCATGATGTGGCGTAAAGGTTTGACCAGCACAAACAACAGGAGAATCTCCCTTTACTTTAAACTGTTCCCACAGCAGGGTCTCTATGGGGAAACATACAGTATTGTCTCATAACACTCAGATGTTCAAATGTGTGCACGATTTGGAAACCCGTTTGATCGTAGTTATACCTGTATTGAGGGCGTACATGTCTTTAAGCAGAGATCCGTCCTCTGAACATCCACCAAACAGAAAGATCTGCTCCCCGACCGCAGCGCACGAGTGATTATATCTGCAGGAGAAAAGAGGAAAACCACAACGTTCAGCACTTTCCAACAGATGGTCAGCTTTTGACACTCATTCACTCTGTTAAAAAACAAACACTATTTCATATGTATTTCTACACACATATTTGCAGTGAAAATGTCCGTTTACCTTTCTGAAGGCAGAGCTCCTGCTGTTTTAATAGGCATCCAGTTCAGTGATGCTGAAAGAGTGATCAGTATTAGTTATTTAATACACTTCAAAAATGACTTGTGCTATGTGGTCAAACTTCTTATTTAAATCAAGCTGAATCAACACAATTCTTTGGGCTCTATTTTGACGGTCCATGCGCAGAGCTCAAAACGCAGGGCGCAAACGCTTTCAGGGCGTGTCAGGACACGTTTTTGCTAATTTAAGGACGGGAAATCTGCCTTGCGCCGTGGCGCATAGTCTAAAAGGGTTGAGTTTATTTTCTTAATGAGTTATAGGTGTGTTTTGAGAATAAACCAATCAGAGTCTCATCTCCCATTACCTTTAAGAACCAGCTGCGTCGCACCATAAGCGCATTGCTATTAACATGACGTAAAGTAAGTTCACTTTCACTTTTGCTCTCGTGGATAGGGAAACCTTACCGCACAGACATCAATTAGCCTATAAATAATTAATTTCAATTGTTAAGCGCAAAGATTTTTCAAAACTATTTCTAAATTCAGTTCTAATTTCCAGCAAACGAATAAATGAACAATAATAACAAAGTGTGCTCAAAATACTGAGTTATGTCCAAATACACCTGCCATGCCCCATATGGTCTAAATCCTGACAGGTGGGCAAATCTAAGCTTGTTTTTAATAAAACAAATATAAATATGGATATAATAAATAATCCTGCTAATAATAATAACATTATACAAAAGCAAACTGAATGAACTGAAAAAGCCTCCCGAGATGAAGAAAGTATGAAGGCAGTGGTTTTTAAATTCATGTAGGCTAGAAATTAATCTTTTGTGATATTTTAATAATTTATATTTATATCCTAATTATATATATCCTTAAGATATTATATCTTGTTCATATGTAAAGATATTTGCGTATTGCTCTACATCTTGTGTGTAGTGTGTAAGCCAGGCGTACTTTGCGCCAGACAATAGACCGGTTTTGTTCTGGTCTAAAGAACAGACTATTTACAGTTTCTCAAAATAGCAACGCGCCAAAACACGCCTGCTTTTTTAGACCAGAACGCCTATGGCGCAAATTTGAGCGCAAATGCATTTGCTATTTAAACAGCGTGGTGCAACATCTCAAAATGACCCTTGCGCCGAACTTAAAGTAGCAAAAGACTATTGCGCCGCGCCTTGCGCCACATTGCGCGGGGTGTATGATAGGGCCCTTTATTTTTTTTGACAACTTTACTGTTATGATCAATCCACTTAAATTTGTAAAAACAGTTCATTGATTTGTGTTGGGACAACATGAAGAAATTGTGTGGAATCCAGCATTTTTTAGCACGGTTACACTTTGTTTTAAGTCACATTAACTACTATGTACAGTACACTCTCAAAAAATGTAGGGTATAGTTAAAATAATATTTGGTGCTTTGTTGGGTTATTTTTAACCTTTATTGTGTTTTTATTTAATAACTCAACCAGTTGGGTTAAATATTTTTAAGTTCAGCAGTCAACTGATTTAACTGGCACAGAACAGCGGTATTAATATGTGTGCATAATGTTGTTTTTGCGTTATAAAATTCTAATGCAGAAATATTGTTTTTTAATCAAATTACGTCTGCATGTCGTGTTTCTTATATCTGCTTCATCAGCACTCCTAATTTTATAATATAAACACGCGCTTCATAGCAGATCTCTATACAGATAAAACTGCTTTCTCTACCTCAGTCACAGTTTTTTTTATGGAAATGATGCACATATTTGAGATATTCGGCAGTCATTATCACCTTTAGGACCCGGCTGAGAAATCAACCCAACAATAATAATAAAAAAGTATTATTATATAGTGGTAAAGCCACTTTTTTTGCCAAAATAACCCAACTAATTCGTTATTTTTGTAACCCAAATTGTTGGGTTAACCTTGACAACTCAATGGATTGGGTTTAAATAACCCAACCCTTTGTTGGGTTACCTGTTGGGTTATTATTAACCCAACGATTACTTGAATCAAAATATAAGTACAGCCCCAAGGGTGGGCGAGCATTGGCCGTAAACTCTGGCCACCCCAATATGATTTTGCTGTTGATATTATTAATTTAAATGTACTTTTGTAAATTCACAATATTTCAATAAATAAATAGATACATATTTAATTAATTAAACAAATAAATAGCAGCTGCTAAATTATTGTGAATTGATTGGCGCCACTGATGTGATTCACTGCCTCTCCCTGATCTTCGTTGACAGCCCGGGCTGGTGAATCCTCCTCTCAGCACTGACCCGTGTTGAACATCATGAGGTCATCAGTAGCGAGTCCGTCCACAATCCCTCCGTACACATAGATGTTTTCCCCCAGAGCTGCTGCGCTGTGTCTCAGTGTCCGCAGAGAAACTCCTCCAGACAGCAGCTTCTCCCATGTCAGCGTTACTGGAGGACACACACAAACACGAGGATATAAAAGACTCGCACTTACACACAGTATAAGTCATAAATGCTGTAGATTCTCACCGATGTCAAAGCAGTAAATGCCTGGAAGACACTCTTTAGCGTCAGGGTCTGAACATCCTCCGAACAAGTAGAGCTTTCCTTTAACCACACTGTGGGGAACAGAGGAAGCATTTATGCCAAATCTGGGCCAGAATTTTTTGCTAGCCGTGTATGATGAAAATACCTAAATTTGTGTTTCAGACATGCCGTGTGGTGTCTGCTTTAAGGTTAGCATCCTAAGCTAAAGCACAAAATGGTGGGAAATGTCGGATCTGTTACTGTCAACTCTGTTATTATCAATTCTGACATTATTAGTGGTATAAAAAGTGATTCAGAAACCTCATGTAACATAGCAAAGTGGTGTTTTTCACATCTATTTAAATGATAAATATCTATCCTTCATCTTCTGAAACAGTTTGGCCCTTGTTATGTTGGCTTGACAAAGCCAACATACTGTTATACTACTCTGTCCTTGAAAACAAACGTATCTCCTCCTAGGCCGTTCATGCCACAAGGCCCAAATGTGGTCAAAATGTGCCTTCTGCATTCAAGATTGTTGCTATATCTCCTCATGCCTATAAGACTTATTGTTTTTTTAATAAAAAATGTTAAATATTAAATATTTAACATATAATATTTTAACATAAATATTACATTTTTTTGCATATAAAAAAATTATACAAGCCCCAAATTTGGCCAAAAGCTGTATTTAGATGTGTTAGATTTTGTTGCTATATCTTTAAGGTTTATCAGACTTATAGTTTTCCAATAAATAATTTTTAAGCATTATTTTTCTCAAAATATGGCAAGCCATTTTTGACTTAAACTCCATATTTTTTTACTGATAATTTTAGCATGTATCACTTTCACACTTATTAAGCATTGTATTTTTAAAAAAATACGGCAAACCATTTTTACATGTTTATTCCCTTAGTCTCTTTATTAATCAGGGGTCGCCACAACGGAATGAACCGCCAACTTATCCAGCATTTGTTTTACACAGCGAATGCCCTTCCAGCCGCAACCCAACACCAGGAATACATAATGTTCAAGTCCAGTTTTTGACACTCATAAAGACTGTCATAGAAACATCGGGGTTGATTAAGATCACTCATATTTTCAAGAAGCTTTGATGTATCATCACTAACCTGTCAAATGTCCCCATAGCAACAAAACAGTATAACCTAGCAACCATTTAAAAATAGCAATATCTCTACATCAGAACATCGTAGGGACCTGGCTTGTTTGACTCATACTAGCAAATGGGACTTCCTGTGTACTATGCATGGTAACAATGATAATGGAAGCCAAGTGCTAATAACGATTAGCTACATGCTATGAATGATTATCTAAATGAAATAACATATGCTAGAAATGCCTACTAAGTATTAGCATTTGATCAAACATGTACACGAGCATTGCCATTTAGCAACTGCTTAGCAACCACCTAACAATGCCATAATTGTTTTAGCAACTGCCTAGCAACCGCCGCCGTGCTTCCTGCTAACTGCCATTCCCAGTCCTAGCGCAGTCACGTTGGCTTTCTCAAGCCAACATCAAAGTTTATCAATAAACTTTAGGTTCTAGTTATATTTGCTTCAGTGTTCTTAATGTTTTGGCTCATCTGTGTTTATACAAGCTCAAGGTTAGGGTTACAGAAGATCTGCCATTACCACAGAGTGTGTCCTTCTCTTCTTGAGGGAACGTCACCTTTCTGGGGCATCAGCTCCCATGTAACTTGATCCGCTGAAACTAAAAACACAAGAAAAGTACACCTGAAATGACGCAAACAAGCAAACTATCATGTAAAGAGCCTTTGTTTACAGCAGTGTTTCCCAACCCTGTTCCTAAAGGCGCACCAACTGTACACATTTAACCTCTCCCAAATTAAACACACATGAATCAACTCCTCAAAACATTAGAAGAGACTCCAAAACCTGAAGTTAATATTCAGATAAGGGAGACATCCAAAATATGTACTGTTGGTGTGCCTCCAGGAACATAGTTGGGAAACACTGGTTTACAGTGTCGATTCATTGCAAAGTATTTCACCGAATGTACCTGTAATCATGTAAAAGTCATTGAGGTATATTGGAGGATCATCCTGTGATAAAAAGAAGATTTATTTGTTGAGCAGGCGACAAGGTGCAAATCAATAATCATCATGAACAACAGTTTAAAGCTGTTTTACTGGATTCACACACCTCTGTGATTGCGCTTGATGCTCCTCCAAACAAGAAAGCAATATTTCCCGCCACAGTCATCGCATGGCCGTATCTATAATGATAAGTATGCTGTATTATAATTTCATATACAGTAAGAGTCAAAATTATTAGCCAACCTGAATTATTATCCACCTCTTTATTTTATCCCCAATTTCATAATACAGAAAATAATATTTGACTAGATATTTTTAAGACACTTCTATACAGCTTAAAGTGACATGTAAAGGCTTAACTAGGTTAATTTGGTTATCTAGGCAGGTTAGGGTAAGTAGACAAGTTATTGTATAAAGATGGTGTGTTTTGACTAAAGAAAAGATGGGGCTAATAATTTTGACCTTAAAATGTTTTTTAAAAAATTAAAAACTTCTTTTATTCTAGCCGAAATAAAACAAATAAGACTTTCTCCAGAAGCAAAAATATTATCAGACATACTGTGAACATTTCCTTGCCCTGTTAAACATCATTTGGGAAATATTTGAAAAAGAAAAAAGAATTTAACCACTTAAACTCTCTGCGTGACGTCATCGACTTTCGCTTTCAGATTTAAAGGGCTAACATTGCACCAGACCCTCGTAAGTGGTTTCGTTTGGAAGTGTAGAATCTATATTTTATGCACATATGCATCACTTTGGTTTTGATTCTACTGTATAAAAGTTATTTACACTTAATTACACAGTATTTTGGATACCCGAGCTGGGTATTTTACATTGGTTCATTTTCATATTTTTTTATATGACACATGTACAAGTTATAGCTCAAATGAAAGCTCTTGCCGGTGCTCATACAGTTCTAGTATTCTTTTTACTAAATTATATTCATATGCCAAACAGTTGTTGAATGAATTGTGGTGTTTCCATGGCGCAGAAATGTAAACAATACATTCATGATCAATAAGCAGCCCCAGATAGCACAGACAGCTGTCATCTCTCACCCTATGCTGTGAACTTCAGGGCCATTTCTCCTCTGTTTTTGTGGTGATGTGCATAAGTAATCCTTTTATATGTCTGACATGGTCCAAACACAGTGAATTATGTTTGATCAAACAAAAGAATAGTGAAATATGAAAACAAGGATCGCTCCCTGTGGCTTGTACAGCACCTCTCATCAGTTGGAATACAATAACTTTTGCATAGATTATGGTGGAGACATTTCTCTTTTTTTGGCAGGAACCACCAACATTAATTACAGCACGCTAGACCACATAGAACCTAAAAGGTGCACTTTCAAATTTGAGTTTATAAAAAAAAAAATACAAAAAGCGCCTCTTTTTTTAGGTGTTTATTACAACACAGACGACATATACAGATATTGTAAACACTTTCAATAGTGTTTTATGAAAATTTTAAGTTTTTTTTTTAAATGAGACCAAAATTTTGCATTTACACCTCTGCATGTGGATTTGGGAAGCTTTTAAATTTGGGTAGACAAAATCCAGGCGGAAATCCCCAAACAGCAGCAGAGTTTAAGTGGTTAAAGGGGGGCGAATAATTCTGACTTTAACTGTATGCTGCACGATACTGGTCTACTATACTAAATACTGATACTAAATCTTTAGGAAACATTTTTGGTACATCAAAAAGTGTGGTTATGACCATCCAACAAGATAATCCAGCTAAAGATGCTTAAAATGTCTCTAAAATCTCATTCATTCATTCCTTTTCAGCTTAGTCCCTTTGTTAATCTGGGGCCGCCACAGCGGAATGAACTGCCAACTTATACAGCATATGTTTTACGCAGCGGATGCCCTTCCAGCTGCAACCCATCATTGGGAAACACCCATACACTCTCATTCACACACATACACTACTGACAATTTAGCCTACCCAATTCACCTGTACCATGTCGTTGGACTTGTGGGGGAAACCAGAGCATCTGGAGACAACCTTCTTGCTGTGTACCCACTGTGCCACCACATCTGCATTATTTTAATATCATATTAAAATAGAAGATGGCTAATAACTGCAAAAAGGTCAAACAAAGAACCGCCCCTTCACCCGGCTGGTTATAGGCCTGCTGGTATCACGATAATGATAATTGTTCAATATATTGTGCAGCCCTACTTTCATAAAGTTTACAAAAGCATCATAAATGAAAGAGAAGCACCGGTGACTCACCTTGGGCTTGGTGGGACCCCAACAGTTTCCTTCTCCACCCAGTGTCCGCTTGCTAAAGCCATTTTAGCGTTTCTTCAAGTTACTTTCTTTAATCGATGTCCTGTGAAAGTCATTAGGGAATGTATCGTGTGCTAAATGTTTGCTGCCCCACTGGGAAACATGCACACACAGGTAGGCTGTAAGATGAGGATGCTGGTTGCCTAGTAACACAGGTAAACAAACTTTAGCAGCTCATCGTGCTAACAGATCTGTCTCCACAGACCCAATTGAGGCAAACCATGATCAAATAATCAAGTCTTAAGCCTTGTGTGCTGCTGGGAATGTTGTCATCCACTCTGGGGTAATTTTGAGTCTTAATTTGGCCACAACTGTCTCTGTGTTTGAGCAAATGGAATGCTTTTTGGTGACAAATCTTATTTTGAAGCATATTTTGGGAAAAAGCTTTAGATTTTTTTAAAAAACTCAATGCACTCTGGGCCAATTGACTACCTTTTTGTTATGTTGGTGGCTGTTTTTGCCTCATTGACTTCCATTATAATCACATTTTTTGATTGCAAAGCCATGACAGCATATAATCATGATTTCTTGATTGTTGCTGGTTAGGCTTCCCTGTTAGGAATAGGTACAATTAGTCATTTTTACCATTGATCATCATTTGCAATGCAAAATAAGTGTAGTTTCTGGCTTTTATACGGAGTTATATATTCTGAGAATATATAGAGAGACATTTGCACACCTTGAAATGTCTAAAAAATCACTTTCTGGCCATTTGGATATTAGGCACGGACATATATATTGCGATCATGATTTTTGAAAGTATTAAATCGCTTTGGAAACGTTTATTATTACCATTTCATGAGTCTCCCCGTTCAGTTGAATAGAGCGCTTTGACTCGAAAGCCGCTTCGCGTGATGTCACACATAACAAGCGGATGGACGCGCCGACCCTGAATGTATTCATGCACACACACACTATAATCTGCTGTTTTACTCCACAGAACTCCAAATAAAAGCCAGACTCTTAGGCCCAATCCCAATTCTATTTTTGTACCCCTACCCCTTCTCTTTGGCCCTTAAAATGTAGTATGGAGTGTGTTGCAAGAACCAAAACCAAAACACAATAAAAATCATGATGAACACATTAAATAATGTTTGATGTATTGTCTACAATGAGATGATGGATGGATGGATGGATGGATGGATGGATAGATGGATAGTTAGTTGGATGGATAGATAGATAGATAGATAGATAGATAGATAGATAGATAGATAGATAGATAGATAGATAGATAGATAGAGAGATAGATAGATAGATAGATAGATAGATAGATAGATAGATAGATAGATAGATAGATAGATAGATAGATAGATAGATAGATAGATAGATAGATAGATAGATAGATGGATGGATAAATAGATGGATGGATGGATGGATAGATGGATGAATGGATGGATGGATGGATGGATGGATGGATAGTTAGTTGGATGGATAGATAGATAGATAGAGAGATAGATAGATAGATAGATAGATAGATAGATAGATAGATAGATAGATAGATAGATAGATAGATAGATAGATAGATAGATAGATAGATAGATAGATAGATAGATAGATAGATAGATAGATAGATAGATAGATAAACACATGGACACAGAGAAAGAAAGATGTTATTTATAGTCATCATATCTATAATGACAGTGAAGTGTCATCCTTCACTGTGATCTGAGCCCTGGTAACATCCTCTGAAAAGGGAAATCATCATCTGATAAGATAATACCGAGTGACGCACCTCAGTCACTCACCCAGTGAGAAACTGGACCCTCATCAGGCTGACCCCAGATCAGTGGAAATCTGCACATCACCGGGCGGCAGCAGAAGACGCTGGTCCAGGTACAGCAGCTCGCAGTTGTGCTCTCTGACCATGCGGGGCCGCTGTTCTGCAAAACGCCGTCACATAACGCAGTTGTTACAAGAAGAGATACAGCTGCTGCTGGAAGTTATAATATTTATTTTATTTAAAAATTATCGATAATTGTATTTTATTAAACACCCCTAACACTAATGTAAAAGCATTAATTATACCAAATATTATTCATATTATTTATTAAATTACCCATCCAATTTTGTTTCAACCTGTACCCTTACCACAACCCTCACAGTAATGTAAAAACAACAATTATACCAAATATTATTCATATTATTTATTAAAATACCCATTAAATTGCATTTTATTAACCTCTACCCCTTCCCCAACCCTTAACCTACCCCTAATGTAAAATCAATAATTATACATATTTTTTATTAAACTGCTGATAAAAATTAAATGTAAAAACAATAATATTATTCATATTATTTATTAAATTACCCATAACATTTTATTAACGTTTACCCTTAGCCTAACCTTCCCAGTAAATATTGTTGTCACAAAAATATGAAATATTGCTGTGAGTATCCGCAGCTGTATCCCTTCTAGGCTTTACCACGTAACACACACACACACACAGCGGGCGGAGGAGAGAAAAACGGAACCGACAGCATCATCTCTATCGGTGCAGTGACTCTGTTGTTTTCGGCTGGATGTAAATAAGCGTTGTGACGGACTGAAGTGACCCTCGGCCGACAGGACGGTTGATTTTCTCGCCGGTAAAGCTGGAAGGAGGCGGCGGAGCGCAGATATGCACCCAGCAGGATGGCTTCTATGTAACTCACATGAGATGTAATGATGAAATGGCGATGAAGATGATGATGGCCCAGGGCGAGAAAGACCCGAAACACACCAGCCGAGTAGTGCTGGTCAAGAGGATCATAATGAAGCATGACAATCCGGTAGGAAATGTACATTTATCCGCAAATATATATTACTACATTAACGTTACATGTCAAATTCGAAATACCATTGACATCCATTGAGCTCATTCATTCATCCATTCATCCGCGGGCCGATGTTTTTGTGTTGATAACATCTACTGTAGTTTGTCTAAATATAATTTAAGCATTTAAAAATTAGCATTCGCGTGGGATGTTTGAGTATGACACGCATATTTAGACGTTTCAGTCATATTATCTGTACATAAGTGCGTACGGTAGCACATCGGCTAGCTGATAAATCACAGTTTTAATGTTTGAACACGGTTCATATCGCTGCTTTGGAGTTTAATGTATTTCTAAATGTCGCCTGAGGCCTTTATTATAATTTTCATTGTGTGTCAATACGTGTCGTGCGATTATATCGATCGTTTTCGGCAAGGTGAGGTGATGCTAACGGATGCTACAATATTAGCCGATTGAAACGCCGCTGCTGTTGGTTATTACGTAACACACGTGAACCCGCTCACAACAGCGATGGATCTACGCACGTGCGCCTCCACGAGCGCAATCTGTTGTCATGGGGATGCAGAAATCTTCATTCATTTTTATTTATTTATTACTTACTGTCTGTGATGTCATTTTATCACGATGTGCAGGCATGTTTAGGGAAAGAATGTTAAAATGATAATCATTTTAGACGTGTATTCTGTGCCTTCTTCAAAACACTAAACTATTTAACGTTACCTTGTCATTTTCCTAAATTATAAATTTTATATATATATATATATATATATATATATATATATATATATATATATATATATATATATATATATATATATATTCTTTTTTTTATTGAAAATGAAAAATTATATTGAGTAAAAAGATAATTCTCTTCATAATCTATCATACATGTAATTTGAAAACTGACCCCCATAATAATAATAATAATAATAATAATAATAATAATAGTAAATATAATTTTTTATAATTAATTTCTGTGTAACAGAGAGCAGATTTTTTTCAACACATTTCTAAACATAATAGTTTTAATAACTCATTTCTAACTGATTTATTTTATTTTTGTCATGATGACTCTAAATAATATTTGACTAGATATTTTTCAAGAAACTTCTATACAGCTTAAAGTGACATTTAAAGGCTTAACTAGGTTAATTAGGTTAACTAGGCAGGTTAGGGTAATTAGGCAAGTTATTGTATAACGATAGTTTGCTCTGTAGACTATCGGAATAAAAAATAGCTTAAAGGGGCTTTTAATTTTGACCCTAAAATGGTTTAAAAAAAATAAAAACTGCTTTTATTCTAGCCAAAATAAAACAAATTCCTTGCTTTGTTAAACATAATTTGGGAAATATAAAAAAAATTATATATATATATATATATATATATATATATATATATATATATATATATACATATATATATACACACACACATATATACACAGTTGAAGTCAGAATTATTCGCCAGTTGTATTTATTATGTTTAGAAATGTGCTGAAAAATCTTCTCTCCCTAAAACACAAATTGCTGAAAAATATTCAGGAGGGCTAATAATTCTGACTTCAACTGTATATATTGCAGAGAAAACTAAATATTGCAATGTCATGTTTTTCCAGCACCCTGCAGCCCTAATCTGTGCTTTATGTCCCAATAGGATTAATTAAATAATGTAATTGAATCCCTTTGCCTTTTATCAGGCATTACAGGAAAGCGCACGTTAACCATGACATCCTGCAGGACTGTTTTTGTGCAGACTCTGAACTCGACTCTTTTCAGCTGTGAATTTGGCTCTTTTCACTGTAGTGGGTCTCAGAGGAATGTCAATGAGCTCATTTACACTGGCCATGTGACACAAATATCACACAGGGTGTCCAGGGTCTTAAATTAATTAATTTTCCTTTGGCTTAATCCCATTATTCATCAGGGGTCGCCACAGTGGAATGAACCGCCAATTATTCCAGCATGTTTTACCCATCAGATGCCCTTCCAGCTGCACCCCAGTACTGCGAAACACCCGTACACACTCAAAGTACATACACTACGACTAATTTAGTTTATTCAATTCCCCTATAGCGCATGTATTTAGACTCTGGGGGAAACCGGAGCACCCGGAGGAAACCCACCGCCAACACGGGGAGAACATGCAAACACTGAGAACAGAAACGCCAACTGACTGGGACTCGAACTAATGACCTTCTTGCTGTGAGGCGACACTGCTAACCACTGAGCCACAGTGTCACCCCTAAAAGGGTTTTAAAAGATCCTAAATTTGATTTGAAGAGACCTGCAGAAAGCCTGATCATATAAAAAATGACAAGTCTCATATCCTGATAGGACTGCACAATATGTAATTTCAGCCTCGATGTTAAGCCTCCTTTCCACTGCACACGACAAGCGACAGACCGTCATTCATTTCCAATGCAGAGTAGTGCGGGAGCTGCGTGGAGTTCCGATCATCTGCGTATGCGAAAAATTCGGATCCGTTGAAATATTGCAAGTAGACTGTATGCGACTGGCCGACCGGATGCGATGTATTCCAGTGTTGTCTAAGCAGGTCTATGTGCGCGAGATGAGAAATAGTAGTTTATTTGGTTATTTTTTAAATCAGAAAAACTCTATATTTAAAAAAAAAAAACATTTCTATTCATAAATGTAAGTAATAAAGAAATACAAATAAATATTTTTATGTTGTCTCCACATTCCCTCCAATATTTTTATTGGTCTATTGCTGCGTTCACACCAGATGCAGAACGTGCCTATAAATCGCGATATTCGCGCGTAAATAGCGACATTTGAGTTTACTCGCTTCATTCGCGCGTCAAATCCGCTTCATTCGCGTGATGGGCAGGGCTTTAGTTTGCCCGGTGACCTACAAAAGGTGATTCGTCATAATCACGGCCCCACAAGAGCAAGCTCCTGATTGGTTAACGCGATGCGAATGTTCGCTGAAGTTCAGATTTTCAAATTCGAGCGTCAACATTCACGTGTATCACACCACAGGGTGTCTATTCGTGCGTTCGCATTGACTTAACATGTAAATCACTCGTGCTTGACGCACGTTCCGCGTCTGGTGTGAACGCAGTATAAGAGTTTCTAGTATTCATTTATTTATTCAACCATGATGAGCGCACAGAGAATATAGACTCTTGCTTTTATTTAGAACAGCTTCTTCCATGGTGCACATCAGAACTGAAAATTCTGTACGACTGCCACAAGGGGGCGTAATCCGACAGTCGTGTCCAAATGTCGTGTGCAATGGAAAGGCTGCTTTAGGGCCGCACGATTTTGGAAAAATTGAACATTGCAATATTTTGTTTTTCTGCTATATTTACTGTATATATATATTATATATTGAATACAGTTTTAGTCCTGTCACAATAAATATTTTTGTTGTACGATATATTGCACCAAAATATATTGCGATAAACACTATTATCGTCATTTTAAGACATTTTATGCCACTCGTTATATGATGCCAGAATGACAATATAATCACAATGCAAGTACACTCTTCTAAAGAACACATCATATATTATTATTAAGAATATTAGATTTAATTATAGTCATTTTTACAACTGAATAATGAGGCATTTTACTCAGAATGTGAAAACGCATGTCCTAAATAAATAATAATAAATGTAAATAAAAGTGCAGGGTAAAAAGTATCAGAGGCTGTGAAATCTGCTACAAGATCTATTTTTAGCTCTTAGACACCCACATGAGAATATACTAGAGTAATTTATAGTAAATACTACAGTGTTTGTTTAACCACACTGACACCTCCAACAGAGATAGAGATGTTGCACAATTAGCTAAAAGGTTGCTAGAGTTGGTTTTTGTTTATGGGCGATATATATTACATTTATATTAAAAATAAGGCCGTGTTTGTATTTGTGCTGCTGCAGGTCCAGCAGGGAATCGGCAAGCCCAGTGTGTATCATGCTGTTGTGGTCATCTTTCTAGAGTTTTTCGCCTGGGGTCTCCTGACCACACCAATGCTCACGGTAAGCTAATCTAATTTCTCTTCTTTTTTTAAAGTTGATTATTTATGTGTGTTATTTTGTGATTATTGATTATACGATTATAATATATTGTTACATTTATGTGCCTGTTTAGTAGGATAAATACAGTGCACACCACACACCAGCAGGTGTCAGTATAACGTTATAGACCAGAGTATAATCTAGGGATAGCGTTCAAAAGCTGGAAAGAAATACTGCAAAAAAAACAAAACTAAAAATAAACAAAAATAAAACAAAAAAACTTTTAAGAAGATATTTATTAATTTATACAAGGATAAAAAAGAGACAGAATTAATAATTGTAGTAAAATAATGAATAATATAAATGCTAAAATTAATTAAATTTTAAAAAACGAAGACAAAAATAATAAAAAAATAATATTAATAATAAAAATCATATTTCTTTTCTCTGAGTTTTCTAAGTTTGGGTTTGACTAAACTGTTATTTACCTTTTTTCAGAAAATTAAAATAGGTTTGAAAAACAAAACAAATGTTTGTTTTAACATAGCACTGCAAGAAAAACTCTAAAAGACTATATTTTTATTTTAAATGTAGAAGAAATAACATCAGCAGTTTACAGGATAAAATAAAAACAATGAAATATAATTTTAGACAATTAAAAATTTTAAGTGGTCCCTTAATTTTGTAAAAATAAAAAAAGCAAATAATATATATATATATATATATATATATATATATATATATATATATATATATATATATATATATATATATATATATATATATTTTTTTTTTTTTTTAATAACTAATTTATTTTGTTTTTGCCTTGATGAAGAAAAATATTTAATTAAACTTTCTTTAGAAAAAAATACAGGAAATACTGTGTACTTACTGTGTACTTTCTTTGCACTTTTAAAAATTAGTAGGGAAACCTTTGAAAATAATACAAATTTCTCTAATAATTTACGCCTCATTTTATATATATATATATATAAAAGTTTATATATATATGTAGGAATAATTTAGGAATAATTCAAGTAACTGAAATAAAATTAAAACATTCCATGAAGATGTTAAATGGCTAAAACTTGAATAATACTGAAACATTGCCACTTTAAGATGAAGCGCTAAAATATAATCTCCAATTAAAAGATTATATGATTATTTAATAAAAATATATGAATAAATACCATTGTAGTATATAAACAGTAATAAATAACAGTAGTTAAAGGAATTGAAGTCTTTTGCATTTCTAGCATTGTTTTGTTGAATCATTCACAACAAATTATTTAATTAATAAATTCTTTTATACTTTATCTCAATATTTTGACATGATCCCTGCCGATTCTTGATAAATGTGTATTTTCATTTGTAGGTTCTGCATGAGACCTTCCCCACACACACCTTCTTAATAAATGGCCTGATTCAGGGGGTGAAGGTGAGTGTGTGCATGTGAGTGTGATGTGTTTTATCAAAGTCCCTTTAAAGCAAGTCTTTTTACTCAGTGGCCATCTTTGAAACATCTCTCAGGCATTCTGTTTGAATGGGGAAACATCGAAATCTCCAAATCTGTTTGCCAAGCTTACGATTAAAATTACTGAAAAAAGTGTTGCATGCAGAACTGTTGCAAACAATTAATTTGTGTTGCATTTAAACAAACAAATACATTTAATAATGTTCAACTTAATTTGTTTGTTTAAATTCAACACAAATAAATTGTTTACAACCACTTAACGTAAAGAAATTGAGTAAATCCAAGGAATCATCTTTGTATAATTTTTTTCAGTGTATCTGGAATCACCAATGAAATTAAACAGCAACTGTCTCTTAAGTTTCGTTTATAAACTTTGCCCATGTTAATTCGCACTCGAAGGGAACGAGATCACGACACCAACCTCCTTAATAGCTGTTTATGTGTTACACATTATCATCCTCTGAATAATGACAATCCGATTGCGCCTGTCCTCTGAAGTACTTACCAATTTTTTGATGGCAAATCTCTTAAAAAATAACTTTGTTTTCACATTTGTGGGCTTTCTGTTAGATGCTGTCATGTGATTTGTGTTTGAATGGTGGAAACGGGAATACATTTGGTCAGACAGGACAGATTCGACTTCGCGTTTGTTTCGTACAGATTACAAAACCAGAGAACATTTGTTTTCAAGTGTAATTGGTTAATTTATAATTAGACATTTTAAGCTGTAAGTAGATATATTTCTCATGTCTGTGAGGCAAATATTCAATTCAATTCAGCTTTATTTGTATAGCGCTTTTACAATGTTGGTTGTGTCAAAGCAGCTTCACATAAATGGTCATAGTAACTGGATCAGGGTAGTTCAGTTTTTAGTGTTTAAGTTCAGTTCAGTTTAGCTCAGTTCAGTGTGGTTTAAAGTCATTACTGAGAGTCCAAACACTGAAGAGCAAATTCATCGATGTGTAGCTCCACCGATCCCAAACCATGCAAGCCAGTGGCGACAGCGGAGAGGGAAAAAAAACTACACCAATAGGCGAGTGAAGAAAAAAAACCTTGAGAGAAACCAGACTCAGTTGGGCACGACCATTTTAATTTCTCAGCTGGCCAAACGTCTTGTGCAAAGCTGCAGTCTCAGCGGCGGAGGCTGGAAGCTGGCCTTAGTGAGGACTCGTCTGTCCCTGGAGCGTCATTGGAATCAGTCTCATACTCTCCACTTCTTCAAGACCAGCGCAGCAGCAGCTCAGGATACGGCATATGACGGCCAACGATATGGAAACCTTGGGAAATATTTGCTGAGATTCCAGCACATCTGCCGACCCCAGTGGGTTCATAATAATGAAGCTGCAGAAACTGTCATAAAAACACATGTCTGGGGCGAGAGCCTCCACTGGAGAATCATTCATTCATTTTCTTGTCGGCTTACTCCCTTTATTAATCTGGGGTCGCCACAGCGGAATGAACCACCAACTTATCCAGCAAGTTTTTACGCAGCGGATGCCCTTCCAGGCGCAACCCATCTCTGGGAAACATTCACATACACTCATTCACACACACACTCATTCACTACGGAAAATTTAGCCTACCCAATTCACCTGTACCGCATGTGTTTGGACTGTGGGGGAAAGCGGAGCACCCGGAGGAAACCCACGTGAACGCAGGGAGAACATGCAAGCTCCACACAGAAACGCCAACTGAGCCGAGGCTCGAACCAGCAACCTTCTTGCTGTGAGGCGATCGTGCTGCGCCACTGCGTCGCCCCCCTGGAGAATCATCAGTCTATATTGATCGATGATTGGCTCCTGTACTAGTAGGCGGGGCTTCATTTGCCACATTAGGCTCGTTTGACTTGGCCAAAATCTGCGCAGAATCGATCACCGGTGATCACCGCAAGATGCATGCCGGTTAGAAATGTGTCCACCTCGCCTTCGCCTCGCTGACGTGCGCCAAAAAATTCTCGCGATCGCGAAGCGGGTACCTCGTATTAAGCAGTCGGCCGCAGTTGCTCTCAAAAGACTGCGTTACCAAAAGCATGATGGGAAACGACTGGCTGACGACACAGCTTAATGCTGATTGGATGAGACTGACACATTACACTTTATTATCTTGTTTTACTAAGGTTGATACGCGGATTTGTTGAATACCTTTTTTTTGTATTTTCGTTGATAATTAAAAAAAAGTCATAAAGAGCTTTACATATGGTTATTTATTTAGATTTACACACAAACAAAAACAAAACACATCTTTGTAAAACATAACGTGACCTATCCAATATAACTAAATGTTACTAATAAATCATTAGGATGTGTGTGTGCTGTATTTTATTTCTCTCTCAGTCTTAAGTCCTGTTTGTTGTCATTTTCACTTTTTGTATGTTTGTGTGAATTTTGTATTGTAATTTTTATGCAGCGTTATTCAATGAAAGTCAATCCAATACACACATATATTCAGACATACAAAGGTAATGAGACTGTTTTGTCATTATGCCTCATCTTTGTGTGGTTTCATATGAGAAGTGAAAAGGGTGTAGTAAACAAGACACACACACACACACACACACACACACATACACGTATATGTATATGTATGTGAAATCAAAAGTAATATTTAATAGACCAAGAACATTTCCACAGTTTTTCCTACAGTCTAATAGTTTTTATTCTGGAGAAAGTCTTGGGCTGTTTATTTTAGTCTGGCTGGAGTAAAAGCAGTTTATATAGACCTAATAAGCTTGTCAATATAATTAACCCCCAAAGAATTTATTTGTCAAACAAACATTTGTCATGACCCGTCACTCAAAAGCATCTTGCTATGGCTACTTCATTTATAATGTAGCCAAATTAGGTTTCTTGAAAGTTTTCTTGCTGTATAAGCTGTTTATTTTGTTATTCTTTTAACGTTTGTTGAATATACAGAATTATATTTTAAATACACCCTTTTAGTTAATGAGCTGTTCATCTTCTGTAATTCTGTGATATTTCTATTGCATCCACTCCCACATTAAAAATACTATAGTAATGTATACTGTAGTGCTTTTAAACCATGTTATAAAATAGTCTATTTAAATTTTATAGTTGCTCTGGTATCACAACAACTATAAACATAACCCAATACTGAAAAAACATGTTCAAAATGCAATAATATTTACTATAAATCACCATATATTTTTTCATGAGGTCACTCGTCTGCGATAAAAAACGCGAACGAGAACTCCGCCACTGGTGACGATTCCAGGTGGCTAAACAGCGAGATTCAGCAGGTGTCCGACTTCTGATGTAATTTTTGAGCCCTCCTCTTACTGCGCACGCCTGCTCTCGTTTACAATGCAGCCAAGGCGAGGCGCACCTCAAACGAGCCTATTGACTGCTACACTTTTCCCTATTCAAAACTGTACAAGTGACGTGCATGTCTTGTCCCCTTATTCTCCAATGCAGAAGTGCGCTCGTTTTTGCGATTGTTTTAGAACTTCCGATTCAGTCGTCTGTGAGAGAAATGATTAGGAATTAAAAAAACACTTCTACTAACAGACTACTTGCTCTACTGAAGTGTGTTCATGACTATACATACAAAGCAGAATAGTATTCAGGAAAAAGAAAATGTAAGTTTGCAACATCTAGCAGAAGAACGAGACGTTTTTAACGTCTAAAAATCAATGGAAGTGCATGAGACCACAAGTCTTGAGTCAAAAAGATTCCTAATTCCTGCCCCCGCTCATACGTCAAGGTCAATACTCTTTAGATTTACTCTTCTTCTTCTGTGGTGTTTTCTGTCTCGGTGATTAGTGCTATGTTGTGTTCATCAGGGTCTGCTGTCTTTTATGAGCGCTCCGTTAATTGGAGCTCTGTCAGACGTGTGGGGCAGACGCTCTTTTCTGCTGGTGACCGTCTTCTTCACTTGCGCTCCAATACCTCTGATGAGACTCAGTCCATGGTAAGAGCCGCACACACATACACACCCACACATTGCACCGTAGACCACTGAGTACACGACATAGTGAAAAACATCAGAGAAATATTACAGGGATTCTGTAAAACCTCAGAAGTCATGAAAAAGTTATGAAAATTTTAAAAAAGCACAATATATGTGTCATTTATGTAATTAGATTTTTTAAATATGCACAATTAACAATCATAATGATAATAAAATAATACTAAAAATATACTTTGATATTTATTACTATTATTATTATTAATATGTTTAATTTTTAAAATTATTTTTAATTAAATATAATAATAATAATAATAATAAATATATTTTTATATTGGTATTATTATTATAATTATTGTGTATTAGATTTGATGTTTTTTAATTAAATATAATAATAATAATAATAATAATAATAAATATATTTTAATTTTGTTATTATTATTATTATATATTTAATTTTATGTTTTTAATTAAATATAATAATAGTAATAATAGTTCTAATATTTATTTATTGTTACTATTATTTTTATCAATATTATTGTTTTTAATTTTATTATGCTTTTAATGAAATATAATAATAACAATAATAATAATATATTTTAATTATTGTTATCATCATTATTAGTCTTATAATTATTATTAATTTTACATTTTAAAAATGTTTGTAATTAATAATAATAATAATACAAATAATGTATTTAAAATATACATTTTTGAAATGTTTTAAAATAAATTTAAAATGTTTTAAAATTTATTAAAATAATATTTTCCATAGAAAATAAAAAAGCAGATTTTTATTGTATTACAATGTTTTATTTCAGTCATTTTAACAATGACATATATACTTATAATTTAATCATGTTTTATTAAATAAAAACAAACATGTATATTCACTTTATTTGTTTTTTTTTAATAAATTAATTATTACTTTTATATTGTAAATAAGAATGATAAATATTGCTATTTTTATTCATCAAAACAAATGAGGACAACGCCACACACAAACTCTCAAAACAATCTTTTTAAATGATTCAATAATCATTTGAAACAATGCAATAATCACGAACAACAGGATAAAGTATGGAAATATATTTATGTTTTTGAGCAGCACTGGCTTTAAGATGTTAAAATGTTCCGTCTCAGTTGAAACTCATTTTGTTTGGCATTTCTTGTTGTTTTTAGGTGGTATTTCGCCATGATATCAGTGTCTGGTGCGTTTTCTGTCACCTTCTCTGTGATCTTCGCTTACATCGCAGATGTGACAGACGAGCGGGAGAGGAGTACAGCCTACGGACTCGTGAGTGGCTCTTTTATTAAACCTAAAACATACAGGGCTGTGTGTCATTATCGCCCCCTGTTGGATCGATGTGCCCTAACATGCATCACAGTGCGTTTTGGTGTAAACAAAAGCGGGGAAAACCCCATTTATAGTAATACCTGTGTAGGTCTGGACATGGAGAATTTGTGTCCTGTACATGCTCTAAAGTTCTTTCTCTTTTGCCTGTGTACTGTTTCAGGTTTCTGCGACGTTCGCAGCGAGTCTGGTCACCAGCCCGGCCATCGGCGCATATCTGTCAGCCAGTTATGGTGATAATCTGGTGGTGCTGGTGGCCACTCTCATCGCCCTGGCCGACATCTGCTTCATCCTGCTGGCTGTCCCAGAGTCGCTGCCAGACAAGATGAGGCTCAACACCTGGGGGGCTCCTATCTCTTGGGAACAAGCTGATCCCTTTGCAGTAAGAACACTCTCATACTCCACATGCAAACATGCAACATGCAAACTCCACACAGAAACGCCAACTGAGCCGAGGTTCGAACCAGCGACCCAGCGACCTCTTGCTGTGAGGCGACAGCACTACCTACTGCGCCACTGCCTCGCCTCATTCAAAATTCTGCATTATATAATCAATTTTATCCATATTTTGTAGAAAAATAAAGCACTACATTTATTCTTTCTTGGGTTTTTACCTGACAGTGAACGGCTTTATATAAATTAAATGCATGGGTTATGAATAAATTCACCCTCCTCACAGTTGTCATGAAAGGTAATATAACCTATATACACCAAAACAATATTTTGTAACAGGCTGTAAACACCTTTTTGTTTGCTGTAAAGTTGGGCATTTTAACATGGGGTCTATTGAAATTTGCTCTCATTTGGAGCCTCTAGTGGCCAGTTGATGTATTGCAGTTTCAGTTTCTTCCAAATTTACTTCATGAGGGAGAGGTTGCTGCTTATGCCTAGTTCACACTAAAGGATTTTAAGCCTGATTTGAGCCCGATTTGGAAGTTAACGAGCTCGCCGACAGATCGGGCTGTGATCGGGAAGAAATCTGCGGGTGCTCGGCGCTCGCCGCTCTTTATGTGTGAACTACTGAACAACGCATCAACGAGGCTCGCTGACGCGTCGCCGACACCTCGCAGACGGAAATCCAACATTCAGCATGCTAAATATTCCAGAGCAGTCGGCCAACTCAACCCCACGTGTGGTCAGATGTAGTGACGAGCTGCAGCCAATGAGAGAGCAGATCAGCATGAGCTGAATGGCTGTGTGTTCAGGAGCTCAGCAGAAACATCTGTGATTGGTCAGAATGGGCATCGGTGCACTCGCTTCATTCTGCGTTAGCACAGACATGAGAGTAGACTATAATAACAGTGAAACTAGAATTCTGTAACTATTAGAATTACCATACTGCTCATTCTGACTGTTCTCATATGAAACGCCATATTGTCACAACATATTTACATTCAAAGCTATTATTGAGATATTAAAATTAAGCTTTGAATGTCTGGCATCATATTTAATGACACATTACCCTAAAAATATAATATTTTTTTTGGTAATACAGCCTATAAATATGTAGTTAAGATACTAAAACACTTAAAGGTCTTGCCTTTCATTTTCACTTTCAAACAGGAGCTATTTAACAGCACAGAATCTGCTGTTTTGAAAGATATCTGAAGTAAATTGATGTTTTTGCCATCAGAAAGTTTTGTCTATGTTAGCAGGAAGTTGCTAGGCAAGAAAATGCACACATTTAAAGTCACAGCGAAAAGTATCAGACATGCATGCAGTCATTTTGACCAATATGGTAATTTAAGGCAGAAATGCTCAGTTCTTTACTGTTTTGTAATAAAAAAAATAACAATGTCAGAAAGAAATACACTGATAGTTAGAAAACGGCAGGGTGTTATAAATATGTTCGTTTTATTTCAAAGAGTTATAAAATTACAAAAATTAAAAACTCTCTGTGTATCTCTCCACTGGAAGATGAGTGATTAATCCGCTGATTTGACGATGTTTTTAAATGCTTTCTCCAAAGCTTGAAACGCTGTCAGTGATGTAATCCGCACACAAGCAGCCAATAGAGTTCAGCTTTTTCTGACGACTCCTCCCTCAAATTTTCATTGGCTGTGGATTGGTAGCTTGAATGAGCTGATGGGGAATGAGTTGTTGTCAGATCATGTAGTGTGTGATCCCCCTCTTGTGGATCGTTCACGGAGTGTTGCGTAGTGTGAACACCACAGAGATTAAAAGACACAAAGTCAAGTCATGTAGTGTGAACAGCACAGCGATCTGCTGATGTTTAAAATCCTGTAGTGTGAACTAGGCTTTAGTTGAAACTAGGGCTGAACGATACTGGGAAAATATGCAATATTGTTGTTAACTTAAAAAAAAGGCAATTAACTTTTTTATTAATGTAATTATCATACTAAAATAAACTTAGTAGATATTTTATGAGCTGATTAAAAAAATTGACTTCAAAACACCACGAATGAATGAAAACCTTGGTGGAAATTCAGATTTTTATTGGCTGCTGTCACTTTTCTCTCTTGTCTTCAGGTATTAGTATTTATTTTCAGCTCTAGGTTCAGCTACTGGAGATGTGGGGATGAAAATAGTCAGGGCCTCATCTGATTAGTCAGATGTAGATAAACAACTTATGCATGTAACAATAATACATTAATAAAATGTATTAAATTTGTTGCACTTCTCTGTGATACATATATACTGTTATCACGATAACAATAACTTTTAGATATATGGTTAAGAATTATTATCCTTTCTGAATTATTAGCCCCTTGTATATTTTCTAGATTTTTTCCCAACACATTTCTAATCATAATAGTTTTAATAACTCATTTCTAATCACTGATTTCTTTTATGAATGCTAATGGATGCTGCACACTGGTGGTGGTGTGGGGAGACCCCCCTCATGATTGTGAAGCGCTTTGGGTGTATGGCCATACACAATAAATGCACTATATAAATACACATTACATTACATATTGGCCATGATGACAGTAAATAAGATTTGACTAGATATCTTTCAAGACGTTAGTATTCGGCGTAAAGTGACATTTAAAGGCTGAACTAGGCTAATTAGGCAAGTTAGAGTAATTAAGCAAGTCATTAGCCCCTTTCACACAGTGATACCGGTAAATATCTGGAAAATTTCCGGAACGACTTTACCGGTATATTTAAAAAAGCGCTGTTCACACAGGCGAGGACGTTACGGAAATTTTCCGGAAAAGAGCATTCACACATCCATTCCAAAATACCGGTAAATTCTGACATCATTCACCACAAATAAGCTTTAAACGGCTGCGCTTGTGTTTGTAAACATTTGACTAAATTACAAACTCTGTGGATGATCAATATTGTGAACAACTTTCGCAGGATCACTTTCGCATGTCGAGATGTTCATAATATGTGCGTGTGCAGGCGCTCACAGGCTGTTTCACAGGCACACGCAAAGCTTGAAGGTAAACAAACAACGGCTTATCATAAGCATCTCATCGATTATTATTTACACGGTTGGCATTAAGAAGAACATATAAACGTGATCTGACTAACTTCTAGCAGCTAAATGTGTCTGGAAAAATATTTAAAAGCTTTTATTCTCATAAACCGCGCGGACGTGAATGTGTCTGACTGTTGTGATTGGCTAAAGCAGACGTCTCACGTCAGCACGTTCTAGACGTGCACGCGCTCTTTCCGGCAATCTTCCTTCTGCATTCACACAGCGCAGCATTCCGGCAAATTGCCGGTAATGTTACAACTTCTCTTCCGGAAAATAGCCAGAACGAATTTACCAGTATTTTCAAAAAGGACCTGTTCACACATACAACCTTTCCGGAAAATTGCCGGTAATTTTCCGGCAAGTTCGGTATGTGTGAAAGGGGCTATTGTATAACAGTGGTTTGTTCTGTAGACTATCCAAAACAAAATATTGCTTAAGGGGGCTAATAATATTGACTTTAAAATAGCTTTTAAAAAATTAAAAACTGCTTTTATTCTAGCTGAAATCAAACAAATAAGACTTTCCTCAGAAAAAAAAATATTATCAGAGACACTGTGAAAATTTCCTTGCTCTCTTAAACATCATTTAGGAAATATTTTAGAAATATTAAGACATACAAAATCACAGGACGGGTGAATAATTTTGACTTCAGTTGAATATAGTGCAGCCCTAGCTGTTCTTCTTTCAATATTAGCCTAATCAGACTCTCAATAAAAAATACTGATTTACAAATCACGTTTTGTATCACAGGACTCTTAAGTTTTACAAGATCCTGTATGTTTTATTGATGATCCATCTTTGTTTTTTTGCAGTCTTTGCGTAAAGTTGGCCAGGACACAACAGTTCTGCTCATCTGCATCACCGTATTTCTGTCCTATCTGCCCGAGGCGGGTCAATACTCCAGCTTTTTCCTCTACTTGCGTCAGGTAAGAGGTTTATTTGTGCCTTTTAATGAACGAACGTGAAGGGTCTATATTTAATATTCCCCCATTAAGCCAGCTGTCTGCTTGTGTTAATCTTGCATTTGCAGTCTCTCCTGCAGGCAGAGTTGCTGGGGTTTCTCACACTCATGATTAATTAGCTGAGACGCCGCCGCTGATCCTCCAACGGCAAGTGTATTAGAGGAAACCTGCTTCAGATAAGGTTAACAAGCAGCAGCAGTAAACAAAAACACTAGCACTGCAGCGGTGTGCACGATCAACAAAATGCAGACAGGAATAAAGAATATCATCCATTTTCCTTCGGCTTAGTCCCTTATTTTTCAGGGGTCACCACAGTGGAATGAACCGATAACTATTCCGGCATATGTTTTATGCAGCGGATTCCCTTCTAGCCCCAACCCAGTACTGGAAAACACCCATACACCCTCTCATTCACACACCCTACAGCCAATTTACTTCATTCCGTTGATCTATAGCGCATGTGGTTTGACTGTGGGGAAACTGGAGCACCTGGAGCAAACCTACATAAACATGGGGAGAACATGCAAACTCGACAACGAAGTGACAACTGACCCAGACGGGACTCGAAACAGCAACCTATTATTATTATTATTATTATTATTGAACAGGCTTCATAATCAGATCATGTGACTAGAATCCAGAATGCAGAACAGTTTGAAGCTTTAGATCGACTTCTGCTTTTACACACTGTTCCCGGATCAGGTTGATCTGGATTGTTAGTGGCTGTCCTGTCTGGCTGTTTCTCAGTTCAGCGACAGCTCATTACTGGACATAACAGAGCTGATTGGATTCAGGGTTCAGCGGTGCAGACTGATAACGCTGTGCTCTTTCTCTGTGTCTCTCAGGTCATTAACTTCTCGCCCAAAACGATCGCGGTGTTCATCGGCGTGGTGGGAATCCTCTCCATCCTGGCGCAGGTATTTAATTGAGGCAATATTCCTCGCCCTGCCGTCTTGCGAAAGTGACTCTCGCAAATGCTTTGTAATTGAATTGAATTCCTTTAAAAGTTCAACGGTAAATGTAATGAGGTATAGGCAGAGCTGTAATGAGCAGATATAGCAAAGCTCTAGCTGCTTTATTTAAGAGGAGAGCTTTTGTTTTCAGCCTCCGCAACAATACAGGAACATTGAATTATTTTCTGTTTCAGTATTAATAGCTCTGCGTCTAAATGAATACAAATTAAATATGATGCTTATTTGCCAACAATGCTTAATTTGATTTCAAAACTATCAATACAAAACTTTTATTTTAATGTATTTATTATAATATATGTGTGCATTTTCTATATTTGAAGGCCTCCTGTGAATTTCAGTTTTAAATATTTCCCATCCCACGATTTTTTCCCAAGACATTTTTAAAGATAGTAGTTTTACTTACTAATTTCTTTTGTCTATGCCCATGTTGACAGTATAGAATAGTTTTCTACTTATTTTGCAAGATATTACAATTATAGTTAGTATTATTATTAGTATATTAGTTTAGTTAGGGTTATTAGGCAAGTTTGGATAATTAGGCAAATCATTGGACATCAGTGGTGTGTTCTGAAGCCAATCAAAAACATAATTACTTATACTATTGACTTAAGCGGTTTTAAGTAATATATATATAAATATATATATATATATATATATATATATATATACATATACATTATATATATACATATATATATATACATATATACATATATATATTTTATAATTTTCTTGAATAAAGAGAATATTAAAATATATATATATATATATATATATATATATATATATATATATACACATGCATATATATATACATACATATTTATATATATACATATTTGCATATGTATATATATATATATATATACATACATTATATATATACATATATATATATACATATATATATTTTATAATTTTCTTGAATAAAGAGAATATTAAAATATATATATATATATATATATATATATATATATATATATATATATATATATATATATATATATATATATATATATATTAATATTCTCTTTATTCAAGAAAATTATAAAATTTAAAAGTGCAGTATGTAAATTTGACACCAAGTGGTTGAACTAGGAATTGCATGCCTGGTTCAAATGCAAGCGCAGGTTGCTAGATTGACGACACCAACATATCAGTAATTTAGCATGTACATTTAATAATGTTAAAGTAATAATAATAATAATAATAATAATTATAATAATAATGTTAATCTATTAATTAGATTGTAAAGCTTATTTCGCTGGAGTGCAGTGAGTGCACTATTCTGTGCTTCTGATTGGCTGTAATTAAATTGCTGTCATTTTTCGTCTGGTGCAAACAGCCAAATTAATTATCACTGCAAATCTCCTCACATAGCTTGTTGTTATGACACAGGGTTACAATGTAACCTGCTCACCTAATGTTTACACAATATTCATTCTGTCTCCACTGCAGCAGGACTTTATATTCTATACTGGACATTATTTCTGTTCAGTGATGAGACTTTTGTCTAAGCAAAGTCAGATTTTACTGTCCTAATTAAATCATTAATAATCAAGACATGATCATATTTTATTGTGGTCAAATAAGTGTAATCTAGAGGCCTTTACCTTTCATATAAGCCACTTCTGACACCAAATGATCAACTAGAAGTCAAGCTATTTTTTGCTGCTCCTAAAAATTGGATAGGCGACAAGACTTATGTCAGGTAGTGTACTACATGTTCTAACTTTACGAAAAAAAACAACAACAAAATGCATACTTTGTATATTCATGCTGCTATTTCTGAAACTCTCAAGATAAGTAAGAAACAAGCAGTGGATTTCTTTCTGCAGAAATACGGTGCAGGATGATGCAATGATTTGTTGTGTTGTGTTCCCGCCAGACACTTTTTCTCACTCTGCTAATGAGGACCATCGGGAACAAAAACACAGTTCTTTTGGGTCTGGGTTTCCAGATTCTTCAACTGGCCTGGTACGGTTTGGGGTCCGAGCCGTGGTGAGTTCATTTTTAGATCAAGTGAAATTACCTGCCCTAAAATGAAAGGTCTGGTTTGAGAAAAGGTTTGATGATCCTGATTCATGGTCGTGTTTGTTGGTTTTGTTGTTGTTTAGGATGATGTGGGCGGCCGGTGCGGTGGCGGCCATGTCCAGCATAACATTCCCTGCAGTGAGTGCTTTAGTGTCACGCAGCGCAGATCCAGATAAACAAGGTAAACTGATCCTTACTAATGTTTTTTTTTGTATGTTTTCAGACTCAGTTTTGTACTGTAGGAGCATGCATTTATAAAGTGCTTGTCTTTCTTTGATATTTTGTCCTGTTTCTAGTCCAAATATTTAAAAGTTCATAAATCAAAGCATTTTCTAGACAAGCAGAACATACTGTCTTGTTTTAAGAAATAATGTGTCAAAATGAAGTGAGTATTTCCTTAAAACAAGCAAAATAATCTGCTAATAATTTAGTTTTTCCTTTTTTGACATAAGAATATTTTTCTTACCCCATTGGCACGTTTTTATATCGGATCATATCGCTTTCTCACTACAATCGATCCGCTCCAGTGTTCGATTCAATCGAGCCGAGACCACCTCATTCACGCGTTCTCGGAGCGATTGTTTTGGTGCGAATCCGATAGTGATTGGTGGTTTCACATATGCCAAACAAACCGCGCTAACTGGGCAAACGAGACATGTCCGAAACAAAAGTCTAGTTGTGAAAGCACCCTTAGATCAAAATGACTTCCAACAACAGATACAAAGCAGCGATCGTTTTTAAATCCGTGTCTAGACTCTAGACGTGAGCTAGTCATTTGAAGCGAGGGAACAACTTTAAGGACATTTTTTCTTAACATCTAGATTTTTTTGAAGATTTTCAAATCGTAAATAGTATGTCAAATATTGTACTGACGATGCGAAATTCATTTGCCTCAATCACGTCTTTCGCGCAAACTCAACCAATGCAATGCGATTCAATTCAGGTGAAGTAATGGCAATTTTTGCTTTGCATATGATGTAAATTAAATTTAAGCACACTTTTCTCAATATTAACATTTTTTTTTTAACCCTCAGATTCAAGATTTTCAAATAGAAATATTATGCCAAATATTTTCAAATCCTAATAAACCACACATCTATGTCCTTCAGCCTTTTAATTATGTATAAGTGAAGTTTATTCATAAACTAATTTCGAGAGGAGCACGTGATTATGATTGAACACGGCTGGTTCTGCATTAGCATGCTTGATCCACCAATCAGGCCATTCCTAACCCACTATAAAGAGCCAGGGTTTTCTCACTACAGTTATCTTCGATTTGAAGAATCCCCCCTTCCACCCCTACCTTTTCACCTTTCCCTTCATAGGGCGGCACGGTGGCTCAGTGACTAGCACTGTCGCCTCACAGCAAGAACGTCACCGGTTCTAGTTCCTTAACAGGCCGGTGGTCGTTTCTGTGTGTAGTTTGCATGTTCTTCCCGTGCTTGCGCGGGTTTTCCCCGGGTCCTCCGGTTTCCTCCCACATTCCAAAAACATGCACAACAAGTAAATTGATAAATCTAAATTTCAATACAGGTAATCTAATAATGCAGCATATCTTTTAATAGCCTTCAATCTTAATCTTTAGCTATTATAAAAAGGGGAGTTGTCGAGATCTACCTGAGCTCGAGGCTCCCCTCTCTTCCTCCAAACGGGAGGGAGCCCAGGGCTCAAGAACCTTCGAGCTCAGGGCTCTCTCCCGGGACAGCATGCCAAACTTGCTTATAATCAATCATCAGCTAAGTGTGAACTCTTGAAATCTCCGATTCTCAAAATTGACGCTTATGACTGGACTTGTTGTCCACCTATAAGCTGTTTTTCCTTTTTTGAAGGCCTGCATGATTCAGGATCGGTAGAGCTACGCATCGATGAATTTGCTCTTCAGTGTTTGGACTCTCAGTAATGACTTTAAACCACACTGAACTGAGCTAAACTGAACTGAACTTAAACACTAAAAACTGAACTACCCTGATCCAGTTACTATGACCATTTATGTGAAGCTGCTTTGACACAACCAACATTGTAAAAGCGCTATACAAATAAAGCTGAATTTAATTTTCAGTTGAATTGTTTTTTTTTTCATCTGAATGTGTTGTTTTATCTCAGGTCTGGTTCAGGGCATGATAACAGGTATCCGGGGGCTCTGTAATGGTCTCGGTCCTGCTTTGTACGGTTTCGTTTTCTTCCTCTTCAATGTGGAGCTGAGTGGGATCACCCCCATCCAGCCCGACTTCGCCATCCCGATACAGACGCCCACAGAGGTACACGCACAAATGTCCCCTTATTAGGGCCTGTAGACTCTTTACTTGTTCAATACCTGGTTGAGCTTCTTTCCTCTGTTGCAGAAGATATTTTGAAGCTGGAAAACAGTAAACATTAACTTCCATAGTTTTTGTTTTTCCTGCTATGGAAGTTAGTTGTTACAGGTTTCCAAGATTCTTCAAAATAGTTTCTTTTGTGTTCAACAGTATACAGAAATCCTTATAAAAGTTTGGAACCACTTGAGTCTGAGTAAATAGTGTAACTTTTAATATTTGTGTTGAGCTATCCCTTTAAATCCACATAAGCTGTTTAAAGCATGATGGATTCTGATTGGCTGTCAGTGTTCATCATCTGGAAAAAGACGTTTATTTATGTAAGATGAAGCACAAAAAATAGTCATGTTAATGTTTTCCATGATAGTCTAAGTTCTTATCCGAATGAATAGCCTCAGATTATTGTGGTAACACACAGCATAGCACATAGCACACACAATCACTTCAAAAAGTTCATAGCAACTGTATTAAATATCAAAAGTTTGTCACTTCAGCCCAAAAGTTTGAATCAATTTAGGATAAAATATTTCCTAGGCTGATATGGCTAGGAATTATATTCTCATTCTGGTGTAATAATCAGAAACTTTGCTGCCATACCTTGGCTGCAGCAGGAGCAATCATAATACACAGTGATGTTACTTAGCTGGGGACTATTTTCAGGTGCTGCGTAATATCGATACGCCAGCTGCATTTTTATTTTCTGTCGGTCTTAGTACACAATGTAACTACAGAGTCAAGCTTTAAATAGGAAGATTATTGAAACTCTTTTTTTGACATTTTTGAGTGAGATGCTAATGGTCTAATCTGATCCAATGATTTATGCTAAGCTAAGTGCCCCCAGTGCCAAGCTAAGTGCTCCCATTAGACTCTGACTGAATGGATAAAAAATGGTAGAACTCAACTGTAGGAGAGATGTAAAATACACTGTAAGAAAATGCTGGGTTCCACACAATTCCTTCATGCTGTCCTAACACAAAAGTTTTTTACTAATTTAAGTAGTTTGAACATAAAATAAATAAGTTGTCCTCGCTAAATAACTCAAGAATTGTGTTAATTCAGCTTATTTTTCAGTACAGTAAGGGTGGTGTTTCTAGTTATTGAAACGTTTTTTTTTTTTAAACATTTTTGAGCGAGATGCTAATGGTCTAATCGGATTCAATAATCTAAGCTAAGCTAGGCTAATCTAAAAGTGCTCCTGTTAGACCTGTAAATCGGCTAAATGGATTACAAATTGGTAAAACTCAACTGGAGAAGAGATGTAAAATTTGCTGTAAAAAATGCAGGGTTCCACACAATTCAGTCATGTTGTCTCAACACAAATCGTTTAAGTTAACCTAATTGTTTCTCACAAATTTAAGTAAATTGAACATAAAATAAACATGTTCTTGCCCAAAAAACTCAAGAATTGTGTTGATTCAGTTTATTTTTAGTATAGTAGTGGTGGATTTTCTAGTTATCGAAACTCTCTTGACATTTTTTGGGAAGATGCTAATGGTCTAATCTGATTCAATGATCTATGCTAAGCTAAGCTAAAAGATAATTTTAAATAAGTAGTTGGAAGTATATTTTGAGTTTAAGATAAATTAGCTAATTTCCAAATATGTTTAGTGTATCTTTAAATACAGTAAAAAAAAAAATACTACTAACTTAATGTTGTTTTCCTTTCGCCACATGTCATGTAGAAGACTACAATCCCCGGCCCTCCGTTTCTCCTGGGCGCCTGTACGGTAGTGGTGGCGTTTATAGTGGCTCTCTTTATACCCGACCACTCGACGCCCCCATCGACACCCTGCCAAACCCGTAAAAACAGTCTGGCCGGAGCTCACACCAACACACCGCTGCCAGGGAGCGACGAAGATTTCGAGCCGCTGCTGGAGGACAGCACTGTGTGACTGAAACCCTCAACCTAAATCATCACTGGGGGAAAAACATGACAAGGATGTCAACACATCGCAAACCCTCCACATGTCCGTGACTAACGCATTGGGAGCGTACAGTATTTATTTACCGTGTTTTATCTCATCTATGGTTCTGAACTCAGAGGCTTTTTTATTGAGCGTTTTTTCAGTGACTCAGCACACTAAGGGCTCGATCAGGGGGGGGGATCGGATGCACTGTAGTGGAGTTTGGTTCGTTTGAGTTTAAATGCAAAGATCTTCATGTATATATATATGTATATATATATATATATATATATATATATATATATATATATATATATATATATATATATATATATATTGAGAGAGAGAGATATTTGGGCAAGGTTATTTACGAAGCTTGTGGTGACTTGAAGAGAAGCTGGGTGAATTTCATAACTCTGAACTCTATTTTGCTTATAGAAAGTAAAGTCTGTTTTTAGACTTTATTCGTGACGTTATTTTTATGACAACTGAGCACATTTTCAGTCTCCAAAAATAGGCTTGCTTTGCCATTTTAAACACCTTTCTGACAGGTTTCATGTAGGGCTGCAGGATATTGGGGAAAATATGCGATATTTGTTGTTGAGTGTTGCGATTACGATGTTTCTCATGATATCACAAACTTTTATCAGCAGTTTAAAATTAAATTATGCTATGTTCATACTAAAACTATCAGGTAAACAATATTTTTCTGAGCTAATTAAATAAAAGAAATGATGTCAACCAGTGCAAACACGAATTACTGAAAACCTTGGCGGAAATACGGATTCTTATTGGATGTTGTCATTGTACTCGCGTCCCATTAAGCATTAAGGTCTTTGCACACTGAAGTCTGAAATTTGCGTTTTTTTTCGTGTTCAAATCCGAACAATTCCTTATGCATACAAAGCTTGCACACCGAGTCTGATGTGTATTAATTAATACGTTGAGAAGTAACTTGAATCTCCAGGTTGGAGGAGAGTCCTTACCAATGGTGGAGGAGTTCAAGACGGGCGACCCCGGATTAATAAAGGGACTAAGCCGAAAAGAAATTGAATGCATGAATGAATAATCGGGGTACTCGCGAAATACCTTACTTCGTATCCCTCATCTATCTCCGAGCTCAGGGTTCTCTCCCGGGACGCATGCCAAACCTGCTATTATAGTCAAGGATTATCTAAGTGTGAACTCTTGAAACAATACAAAATACACCAAAACACCAACAAACTAGCATACAGTAGACCACCGAACATTTGTATTTTATTATATTTGTTTCTCCAAGTGCATTTTGAATCTTGACTTTCGCTTGTACAGCAGTCCTGAATTGTCAAAATACCTCAAAACGCAAATTTCGGATGGGGAAAACATAAAAAAAAATTAACCAGATTAAACATTTTTTTTAATGACGAACAAAAGTTTCGGAGGCAGTTCCTCAATACAATTGAGGTCGAATTTGTTTTTTTACGTGCGAAAATTACATACGAAAATTTCAGATTCAGTGTGCAATAGTATTTATTTTTATTTTCAACTCCACGTCCAAGTATTGGAGAGGTGGGGATAAATATCGTAAAGGCCCTATCTGATTGGTCAGATTGAGATATTGTGATATCGCATATACTATTATCGCGATAACGATAATTATTTGATATATCGTGCAGCCCTACTTTAATGTGATTCACCCAAAGAGAAGTTGTGATTTCCGACAGTATTTTTTTTATACTGTATTGAGTGTTGTTGATTGAGTGAAGTTTCCTGACACAAGCCTTAAAGTCACATGTCCTGTGGCATACGACAAGGTTTTATTAGATTAGAGGCGCATCCGGTTGCAAGTGCATGAACAGTATTTGTGGCGATGTTAACCAAACCCAAGACACTACAGCACCAGCGGTTTGGTGTAGTTCTTTTAGGCCAGTTAGTAATTATTATATATTTATGGAGACGGCTTGATTGTGAAGTTCTTCAATTCTGTGTGTTTGCAAAGGTTCTATGCAGTAGTGTCGGTAATGATTGATAGATCAAACTCAAAGTAAAATGGGTCGCGAATGCCGATGTTTACGTTGAGAATACAGTATTACTTAAAATATAACATTTGTACTTTTTTCTTTAAAGTAGTGATGTGCAATACCACTGGTTCCCTATCACATCTGATACCAAGTAAAATGTATCGGCGATACCGATCCGATACCGATACTTTGCCCAAAATTACTCTTTGGGAAATTAAAGTAATAAGTAGTGTTCTTAAAAGTGTAACTTTACATTGAATACGAGATATATTACAGGTTGTTCTTGTTTGTTGATGAAGAATTATCATACAAAAAAAGAGCCAACTTACATCAGCATCTGAGCATGTATATCTTACGCCTGCCTGAACATCTTAAAAAAAAAAAACATTCACACTTCTACGCTTAGTGACATGTTTATCCGGTTCCCCTGAGTGTTTTTAACCTTTTTTCGTTGTTTTATCATTGTCACAAAAATCCCAAGCCCCCAAAATTCAGCCGCATTTTCTCCCTCTGTACCTGGATAGTGCCTGCATGCTGCACCTAAGGACTCTGAAAGCGATGTCTGTCTCGCCCTAGCAGCAGCACCTGTGCCTCTCCTTTCCTCCTCATCTGACCGCCTAGATGTTGTCCTATTCAGTCTTGTGATTTATATGTAGATGTTTGGTTTGTGGTAGTACAACAGTACCTCGCTTTTTTGTTACACATGTCACAAACTGCATGGTTTGAGTTTATGGAAGTGAAGTAGCTCCACACGTACTTCGCTTCCGGTCACGCATATCTAGGCCCACACGGAATCTGCGTGCGCAAATATTTAGCCCAATAATTGTTTATTTACTTGAGTAAATGTGTGTAAATCTATATTTATTCAGTTTATAAATTAATTTTAGTATTATTATTGACTCATGTAAAAATATTCATATGGTTTATTCATAATACAGTTTGTACCATCTTGAATCTAATTGGATTTGCATTTTAAATATAAAATAAAAGTTAAAAAGATGTCATTTTTTATTTCACATATTAAAGTTCTAGTTATGATATTCCCAAAATAATTACGCAGATTTTTACCAAAATTCTCCACAGAAATAGCAAAAAATGTCCGCAGATTCCGTCTGGCCCTACCCATATCCAATGACAGCGTGCCTGAACAACTTGTGCCAGCGGACTGAGTGGCTAGCTAGCGTGCTCTGCAGTTGTACAGTGCCATATTACGCACATGATTTCGCAGGCGGAAGAACAAGTAGTTCCGACTAAGAAGGCATTATTCAGATAAACTAGGGTAATTGTGGTTACTTTGCACTGTATTTCTATTTCCAATAAACTACATATTTGCTCCAAATTATTGAAATATCGATATTTTGATAAGATAATCGATTCTAAGACATACAAAGCTGGTATCCGAGATATCAATATTTTAGTATCCATCCGCACATCACTACTTTAAAGTGAATCTTACCTTTCAGACGATTGGCATTGGCATTTGTTGAGCAATCGTGCTTAATATGATGTATGTGTTTCCTTTAAATACAATTAAGTGTTGATTAAAAATAATCAGCCAACATCTACAGACCAGCTACCTCATTTTTTGGAGGTTTTAAGGAATTCGACCTGAATATATTTTTATCAGCGTTTTGGTTTTTGTATAGCGACACACTGCATTTTCACTATATTGAAGAATCTCATTGTTTTGCTTACGAATTCTCATATTTTCTCATGCAGCGGACGTTTTAACCTGATGATTTGTTTTGCACAAACATACATATGAATTTCCCAGGGGCCTCAGTGTGTGTTTAATGTGAAGAACACTGTGGAGCATCTCATTAGAGTCTGAGGTCATCATTACACTGACCTGCGCTCATTTCCTGTTCCACATACACATCATTCCTTCCTCATCATGAACAGAATGTCAATTTTCTTTTCCACCCTTAATCTTCTCCCATATGTTTTGCATCATTCCAGTCATATTTATCATGCAGTGAAATGACGTGAATCTTTCTTTGTAGAGCTTAAAAGTCGCGGTGATGTTTGTATGACCGCGGACGGCGTTTAATGATGGCTGGGCTGTAGTTCCCGCGCTTTTGTTTTTTGGACATACGATGTTCACAGCTTGTGACGTTTTACTATGTAACATAACAGCAGTCATATTCATCATTTTAGGATTGTAAAGTATTGTACATGTACTGAATAGTATTACAGACTAATCTTTTTTCATAATGCCAGATATTTTTGGAACAGCGTGCTGCTACAGGTGACGTCAGGAGCTAATCACGTGTTCGACTTTTCCTTTTTTCAACGTCAAGTGTCTGTGTGTTTTTCAACGGGACACACAAGGTGCCTGAAGAGTAAATAACATGTATGTTTGTAGTATTTCAATCTGACTGTAAATACTGAGTACACTGATGATGAAGATGAAATGTACAGGGACCCTTAATTATGTATTTATCGTCATGTTTTGTGGGAATCTGTTAAATAGGCGCAACTGAATAAAAACACTTCAGAGTTGTTATTGTGTGTATCCTTTAGATGGCGCTGTTGCTGTGTATTGTCTTAGATTTCTGAGCTTAAACGTGAAGTATGCAAGCTTAGGGGCGGTTTATATGTACCATGGTAAATATGGCAATCAATCAGTAATGAAACTGGGAATGTATAAAGAATTACTGTACCATGGTACTCATAGTCCCCCTTTTCTATTTTGAAGAAGAACAAGATATAGTAAACACTGCCATTGATTACAATAAAACTTTGGTCACACACTATATTAAGGCAATTCTTGCTAATATGAACCATGAATTAAGAGTTTTAGCTCAATATACACTAATTTGCTGCTTATTTATAGTTTAGGTTTTGGGTACACTCTCAGAATTAAAGGTACACAAGCTGTCACTGGGGTGGTATCTTTAGGTACACAATTTTACTTAGAGGGTCTTTCTGGGTACCTCAAAAGTATATATTAGCACCTTAAAGATTTAAGAGGAACACTTGTATCCTTTTTAGGTACTAATATGTACCCTTGAGGTATTAATATAGACCTTTTAGGTACAAATTTTTACCTTTTGAAAAGGTACCACCCCAGTGTCAGCTTGTGTACCTTTATTTCTGAAAGTGTAGGATTCATTTTCTTTTCAGATTAATTTCTTTATATTATCAGGGGTCGCCACAGTGGAATGAGCCACCAACTTATCCAGCATATGTTTTACGCAGCGATGGCCTTTCAGCCGCAACCCATCACTGGGAGACCTCCATACACTCTCATTCACACACATGCACTACGGGCTTCAGTGTCAACGCTTGACTGAAGGCGTGTCTGAAGTTGGGGCTGAAGCGATCATCATAGCAGCGTCAGCCAATGAAATTCAGTCAGCAATAGGCCACTGTCTAGCGGGTGTATTTGCATACAGCGATCTGATTGGCTGACGCTTCTGTTGGCGCTTGAAAACTTGAGCTAGTCCCAACTTCTGCAGCGAGCAACGCCTTTGAAGCGGCGCCGACGGATCCACGATGCAGTTCGGCAATGCATGACGTCACCCATTCAAAGTGAATGGGAAGCGTTGATGCTGACGCCCCGTGTGAATGGGGTGTAAGGGTGTTTCCCAGTACTGCGTTGCAGCTGGAAGGCCATCGGCTGCGTAAAACATGGATAAGTTGGCGGTTCATTCCGCTGTGGCAACCCCTGATGAATAAAGGACTCAGCTGAAGGAAAATAAATAAATGATTTCCACATGTATCATGATTTACTGTACGTCAGATTGTAAAGTCATTTCAACTTTCCCAGCCAAACAGTGTGCAATAACTTTCAGCCCTTCAACATCAAATGCAAAATAATCCTTGGTGGTTTTTTTCTATGCAATATGAACCCATGTGTGTGTCAGATTCATCCGAGTCTCCTCTGGATGGCAGTGTTGACGTGTCACTGACGTCTGACTGATGCTGAACCCTTGAGATCTCATCATAACCTCAGTTCAGTCTTTGAACATCTCAACCAAGTGTTTCAGAGGCAGTTCAGTTTAGTGATGCTACAAAACATTCCTCTAGTGTAAATGACTCCACGCACACACACACAGATAGAGACACATACATAAATACCTGCATAACATAAAAGCCTGAAAGCTGCATACATCATTTTCCGTTAACTTCACTGGGAATTGCCATTTTGGTTTAGTTTTCATGCTGATGAATTACTAGCGCTTCCATGAATATGAATTAGCCTGCATCTGTGTTGTCTCCACCGAAAGTCCAGTCGTGCTCCTGGGGGGCCAATGTCCTGCATATTTCACACCCTAGCCCAATTAAACACACCTGAATGAGCTAATCAAGGCGTACTAACTTCCAGACTGGTGTGTTGAGGCGGGTCAGGGCTAAACCAGGGATTGTTTCTCTATTGGGAGATGAGAGAGTGTATAGACACACTGTAAAAACTGATTAGTTGACTTCACTTAGAATAAGGGAGTAAACTTGTTGCTTTTAAAACAATTAGTTCACTTAACATACAGCTGAAGTCAATTTTTTTTTTTTAATATTTCCTAAATGATGTTTAACAGTGTCAGGAATTTTCTGACAGTATTTCCTTTAATATTTTTTCTTCTGGAGAAAGAATTAGTTGTTATTTGTTTTGTTTCGGCTAGAATAAAAGCAGTTTTTCATTGTTTAAAACCGTTTTAAGTTCAATGTTATTAGCCCCCATAAGCTATATATGTTTTTGATTGTCAGTGAATAGCAAACCATCGTTATACAATAACTTGCCTAATTACCCTAACCTGCCTAGTTAACCTAATTACCTAGTTAAGCCTTTAAATGTCACTTTAAGCTGTATAGAAGTGTCTTGAAGAATATCTAGTCTAATATTATGTGCTGTCATCAAGGATAAAAAAAATCTGTGATTATTAAAACTATTATGTTTAGAAATGTGTTCTAAATATCTTAATTCTGTTAAACAGAAATTGGGGAAAATACATGGGGGGATAATAATTCAAGAGGCTAATAATTGAGTAGTAGTAACTGTGAGTAATCATGCATTCACACAGGCTTTAGCGTCAAGCTTGAACGAGGATGTGTCTGAAGTTAGGGCTGAGGTGATCGTCATAGCAGCGTCTGCCAAACAGGCGACAGCGCAACATTTTGAAACTTTAAACCTTAAAAAATTAGAAGAAAATAATATTGTTCCATTTTTAATAGTTTAAAATGCTATATTGTCTGGGTTGGTGTTGTATGAAAATGAATTAATGAATGATAAATTATATTATATTATATTATATTATATTATATTATATTACATTATATTATATTTTATTAATACTATAAATTTTTTTTACATTTAATTTTCAGTTGGTTGCAATATATTTATTACATATTATTAAGTATTTAAAGTTTTCATGTGTATTTCATGAGTATTTTGAGTATTTCAGGGCTGAACTGTGATCCTAAATAGAGTTTATATTACTATTCACATTTTTTATTTCAGCAAATCATTCTTGCCGACTGTATGCCTGACATAATATTTAATTTTATCATATATACACTACACTTAATGACATTTTAATGAGTGTATTTGGTTACACATTATATTTCTGTATATGATAGTCACTATAAACAAGTCAACTTATCATATATGGAATAAAAAAGTGAGACTTTCATTGTTTCCATAAAACTTTTTTGTTTTTGTCACCGAGCCATATATCAGCAGAAAAGGTATCCAGAAAATGTATTGGTAATTTCCTGCCAGGACATTTTCTGTGCAGTAAAACCCAACACAGCGCAATGCACAGTTCAAAACACAAGAAAGCACCTGTGAAAAATCAATGCAGAAAAATTCCTTTATATTAACACTACACCAGGCCCTATTCAACAGACTTTTTTCAGGAGTGTAAAGCCATATGCTGCTTTATTGGAGAAACAGACCCTCATTTATGTCACAGTTTCTCTGGAAAACCTCCAGTCTGCACATCCACATAACCTTGCTGTACACTGAAACTTTTTTGGTGTAGTAGTAAAATCTAATAAATTTAGTCAGTCATCAAAGTAGCAGCACAGTGGCTCAGTGGTTAGCACTGTCACCTCACAGCAAGAAAGTTGCTAGTTCGAGTCCCGGTTGAGCCAGTTGGCTTTTCTGTGTGGAGTTTGCATGTTCTCCACGTGTTAGCGTGGGTTTCCTTTGGGTGCTCCGGTTTCCCCCACCGGTTAAAAAAAATATCTAGTCAAATATTATGTACTGTCATCAATGCAAAGATAAAATAAATCAGTTAATGAGATATTAAAACTGTTATCTTTAGAAATGGGTAACAAAAATAATAATTCAGGAGGCTAATAATTCTGACTTCAACTGTTTGTTCTCTTAAAACTGATGTTAAAGTACCGCTAAATATTCAATATAGCATAATGAGCTACTTCAGGCGTCAGTAATGTGGTTGATATAATGAACATAACACATGTAACTGCACATATGGTTTCCTTAATGCTCGTATATCATTTGACAGCGTGCATTCTGCCACACATCTGTGTAGTTCATAAATATTGATGTTTGTATTTCTTACATGGGAGTATTTGCTCTCATAGGAGCCGTGAATGGATGAATTATAATGTATGCGGAGGGTTTTATGCATCGGCTGAATGTCTCCATCACAGAGGTCAGATCAATGTGTTCGTCTGATTCTGGAGGTCAATTTCCCTCTCCCTCTCTCTAGCTCAAAGTCAAATTCAAACTTGGTCTATTGCTATGAAAAATGTTATATAGAGTTGAAGTCAGAATTATTAGCGCGCTTGAATTATTAGCCCCTATAGCAGTAAACTCAACCGGCAGCTAGCTCTCTGCAACTCTCACATGATCCCCCGCTGAAGCTAGGCCCGGTCAGTACCTGGATGGGAGGCCATATGGCACAGGTGTCAAACTCAGTTCCAAAAGGGCCGCAGCTCTGCACAGTTTAGTTCCAACCCTAATTAAACACACCTGATCAAACTAATTGAGTCCTTCAGGCTTGTTTGAAACCTACAGGTAAGTGTGTTGGAGCAGGGTTGGAACTAAACTGTGCAGGGCTTCGGCCCTCCAGGAATTGAGTTTGACACCCCTGCCATATGGGAAAGCTAGGTTGCTGCCGGAAGTGGTGTTAGTAAGACCAGCAGGGGGAACTAAACCTGTGGTCTGTGTGGGTCCCAATGCCCCAGTATGTTGATGAGGACTCTATACTGCCGTGGTCGTTAAATCTGTGGTCGTTAAAAAATCCCAAGAAAAAAAATAAATTAAAAAAACAGTAGGGTTTTTATCACGGCATCCTCCGTCGATCATGGTCTCCGAACCATTCCTATATCATATTTGTCTCCTCTCCACTAATCAGCTGGTGTGCGGTCTGACGCAATATGGCTGCCGTCGTGTCATCCAGGTGGATGCTGCACACTGGTGGTGGATGAAGAGATTCCCCCCCCCAAAAATGTGTAAAACGCTCTGAGTGTCCAGAGAAGCATTATATAAATGTAAGGAATTATTTTTATATTATTTTTATATATAAATACACGA